TTGAGAGCATGGATAAAGACGTTGTTAGTTTGATACGTGTTTCTGTGGTAAATTAGTGTTTCCAGCTGTGTACTGCAAACATAACATTTCTTAAGCAATTTTTTTTTTTTGGACTGTTTTTTTTTCGCCCGCTCGCACCGATTTTGGGGTCCCCGGACTATGTCATCCATAAAAATAAAAAAGTGTGGCCTAACGTAGGAGTGTTGTATTACTATATGTGTGGCGTTACTTGTTTACGACGCTGATGTGAAAAATTCATATATACCTAGTGGGATTTCAAAACGTTAAATACAACGTTTATTTTTTAATGAATAACAATAAGACTTATAAGAACAGCAAAGACATCAAGCACGAAAGGATTGTATATTCTAACCGATACTTAAGGATACGTTAGGCGCATTAGGCATTGAAAATAACGAGCATAGGAGTTCCACACAGCGCACATCAAACTTTCATCCAATCTTCGTATGCTGCGTCTTAACTGTTATGTGCACTGCACATCCAACTCAGGAGAAAGTCAGTGAGGTTGTCTGTACACCTGTCTCTTTGGGTGAGTTCATCATTTAAGACTTCCCACAGATTTTAGATCGATCTATCCCCTTGGGGAGTCTCACTAGATTACTGTCAGCTTAGCCGGCTTAAATATCTGTCCCGCCTATTAAAAGCTGTAAGGGGGTAATTAACTTCCGTGAGCGCTCGGCTGACAGCAACCCCCAGGGAGTTAGGTCAATCCAGATGGATCGATCTAAACTGTGGGAATGCAGTCTAAGTCTTGTTCTACGTAGATCGAATTAACTCCGCGGTGTAATCTGTTAGTCTGATTGCATTCATCGAGAGTCTCCGCGGAGTTAGTTCCAACAACCTAATACGATAGTTTCAATGTGAATGCGCCCTATGTGATATTGGTTCAGAATATATAACTTTCGTATCCCAAAGAACCCATGCAGCCCCCAGTGTGGACGCGGGCGATTGCATAACATATTAATCTCCAACCTACCTGTAAACAGACAAAACTTTCTACTTTTCGACCTCTACCAGTACTTCAGAAGTCACATACCAGGTAATTTACCTAGCTGGCCCTCTTAACCGACTGCACGCGCCAGGACTCCTGGGTTGCAGAACGTGTAGTATCTTATCAAGCCCCCGGGGGCACTAGAGGCAAGGTCACATTGAGGTCACGCCGTAGCGAGACGAAACTGTTCCAGCCATAGACCCCCATTATGGTATAGTGGGATGAACGCTGCCTGGAAAGATTGAAGGTGAAGCCCCTGTTGTACAGGGCTTGCGACAGTTTGAAGAACGGGTTCACACATCTATGTTTATGGATTTTGAATATTACGGCGTTTTCTGTTGTTACATATTTTAGGTAACAGGGGCGTAAGGACCAAAATCAAAACGCGCATGACAGAATGGATGCTTCTATTATTAAAGACAAATATGTTAAAATTGTTTACAGTTGAAAAGTACATTCTGTTTTCAACAAATACTGCGATGAAGTGTTTACACATACATGTACTAAATGGGGGAAAAGAAATGCATGTTTTTTTCGTGATTTTTGACTTCACAAGATCCGAGATCGCGACAATGTGCCGTTGCGCGATTTATGTACACAGCGTTATCTCCCTCTGCGCTGGGATCGTAAACAACAGGAGACAAGATTTGAATTGAATACAGGGATGTAATGGTGGTCTGACATTGCGCAATGACACAGAATGGAGTTCAGAGTACTGAGGGCTTTGCCAACAGTTAATTATTGCAATCAAAGTCTTGTTTATTGGGTTTTTCAAGTATTCAAGTCGGAATTGGCTCGTTCATCATGTGCAGCGCAAAGCCTGGGCGCCAGCTTTTTGGGAGTCTTGTGCAAGGCAGTTGGTTGTGGGTATATGCTCAGTTCGGCAACAGCCATGAGCGGGGAGTTTTTTGGCAACACGCACGGGGATACTTTCTGCACGCGCACGTGTTGAAAACACGGCACACATTGGCCGCAACGCCTCGAAAGATAAAAATCGTTTGTAAATCTCACCGCACATGAGAGATACCTTCTTAAGGCTACTGACAGAAATAATTTTTTCCACAAGCAGCAAGCGCTATTTGCTGTAATCGCCAAAGAATTGCTGCATCGGCTCTGAACGACACGAAATATCCTAAACCGAGCGCAATTCCTTGCCGAGTGCCGTCATTATGACCACGATTGTCAGGGACCAAAGTATTGGAAAAACTGTAAAAAAATCATACATTAAATCTGGTATTAATTCAATGAGTGGAAGTCTTTATCAGATAAAATTTACATATGGAAAACTTAGATATATAAGAAGCTTAAGGTTGCTTTTTACACCTAGCAATTCATATTTTTATGTCCTTTGTTTCAAGCTAGTAATCCGTTAGGTCTGATTACATGGAGTTATTGGGAGTGCCCACCATGATGGAGTGTACTTGTGTTTAAAGTAACATATCAGTTTGATTTATTTAATTGAAAGTTTAATTGATAAAGTTAAGCGTAGACATCTGTGAACTTAAATCTTGAAGAGGGGAGAGAGACTATAAGGAGGGGGAGTTTGAGAGATTGAGTCTGAAAAGGGATCTTTATTGTACCATGCAACTTTTAGTTTAGCAAAATGTATTCTGTTAAAGTAACAACGTGGGAGGCGTTTCTTCTTTTCTGTGCAAGTTTAAGACATAGAACCTGTCAATCTCCGTAGCAGTTTAACAGATAGCGTTATCCAAATATGTGAGCCCACTGTGCCCAACTCATGTGGGGGTAATTTTAAAGGAGATCTTTTTAATGCGGGGGTCGGGGTGGTCATTAAAAGGTCCCTCACAAGTAAGGAAAGGACCTTCACACGGTGCATAAAAGGTGTGCTTAGTCATTTTCTTTTACTGATATAATGCCTTATAAAGAAAAGCATGGGTTTCCTGTCATCATGTGCTGCCCCCTGATTGATTACCGTAAAAACGACCCCAGTAATAGGCTTATTTAGAATCAAGCCTCAACTTTGAACAACTGTACACAGCTATGCTGGGGCGGCTTGCGTAAAGGAGAGAAATGCTGTGCGTATTAATGTTTATTCGTGATTATGTGTGCGAGAGCACGTTTGTGTGCGTGTGAGTGCGCATGAGCTCTAGGGGTGGTACTGGGGGTCGGTCGCAATGTCATACTCAATAAGTTACATTCACACGCATGATAATAGCGTGGTACTTATAAGGGTTTCGCGTAGTTTGGACCATACTTTCCTCTGAAAGACAAGTATGTAGAAGTCTGTATATCTATCTAATATTATTTCTGAAAACACATTATTATGAATAAGGTTCAATTTTTTTGGCAGTTTATAATACTTAGTTCGTGAATTATAAAAAGTAAAAAACAGAAACCAATTGCTGAACTATGCTTTATTATCCAAGTTTTCTTGAAAATATCAATCCACCACCTGCGATAATCCCATGCTCATGGTGTTTGCATCCACCCTATGCCTGTTTTAACAAATTTAAACTGGCTTAGGTACAAATGGCACCAGACACATTAGAAACACAAGTAGAGTTGGGTTTAATAGTCTTTAACAAATAGTTAAACAGATCGGTTGTTAGAACGCTCTCCTTGGACATAACGATTGATCTTACGGATTCCACGCCAGCACACGTATCGGCAACGAAGGCCAGTCCGTTCTTGATGGCGTCACGTATGCGGTACAATTTCTGAGTTGTTGGCACTCGGTACGTAGGGTGAGACTGGCCGGCCCTGGCGGGACTCAGTGGGTAGATTCTGTAGCATGTCCGCTGTGGAAAAAGTCGAGCCTGCATGCGGAGAATGTCCCGGATGGTAATGGTGGAATCAATGGGGGCTATGGTTGACAGAATGGCATCTAGAGAGGCTTTGATCTTCATTTGTTTCACAACTTTGTCGGCGATTTCCACCAGTTTTGACAGTCTGTCCTTGGAAACTGAGCCAAATATGTCCTTCAGTGCATTATTGACCTGCAAGAATGATTAGTGTTAACAATACCCAGTAATAGTTCGAATGAAAATGTCATTTTAACTATATCTTAAACGCGACGTTTTTATCTTCCTAATGAGTGAAAAATAAATAATGTGTTTGCACTCGCTGTAAATGGACTGAATGCAAAGATGTGATAATAGAAGCCTGCTGCATACCTTCTATTTCTGAGGATAGAGAGAGAGAAGCGATGCACCAACACTAAGCTTGCCACAAAGTAGAGATAAACCCTCTAGCAGGGCCGCAGTTATTATTGTGGACATTTTTTTTGACCAAAATGACTGTCTATTTATCTAGAGACATATCTGTGAAAATCTGTGGAAAATCAATTTGTCACCCTAGTAGAGGGTAGTAGAGAGATGGGGTTGGGGAGATCAGTCAAATGAGAGTAGGTATATATATATATATATAGCGGTACAAAGAAACGAGAAAACTACAGTGCTTACTTTGGGATAGAACTCCTCTTCGATGTACTTCACCTCCCAGCGTACGAGGGAGAGCAGCGTTGCCACTTTCCCGGAGGAATAGTCTCCTTGAGTTATTTTGTTCACCACGAACATGTTCAACTTTCGCTGCTTAATACCAAGTTGTGGGAAGGCCTCCATCAGGTCCGCGCCCAGGGTCATAATGGTCTGCAGGGATTTGACCACCTCAGAGCGGATCTTGGGCCAAGCCTGCAGAGAAGAGAAATAAATGATTATAATGTATAGAAATAAAGAAAGCTGCTTTAGACATAATTCCATTTTCAACATCTTATTTAAATAGATTAAACCTAATTTAATTAGGGGGGGGGGTTCGTTTTTTTTAAAGTAATGACAGGCCTCGGATGCCAAGCCGACCCTCGCGCCCTCCTCCACCCCCCTTGACGTGGGGTTCGGGGCCAATGTCTACCATTAAAAATCCCAGTTCAATAGAAAATGGAACGACTTTTTATATCAACCCTGTATCAATTTCCGATTCCCCATCGAGAAAATTCTGAAGCATTCTTACGTATATAGAGATTAAAATAGATTAAAATAAATGTAGAGAGAGAGAGAGGTTGAACAATAAGAATGGAACTATACGGCATTTTGATACCGAGTTTACTTGTGAATGACCCTTAAATCGGGGCTTAAGTAAGCGAAGTATCTGTGGGTATATCTAAGGGCAAATTTGGGACAAAGGAAGCCAAGATATGAAGTTCCCTCGTACACAATTTTTTGAGTGCACTTCTTTTGTTTACCTTCTAAAAGAGAGAAATATCAAAAATCGCCCACCGGCCCCGGTTCCACTGTTTGAACCCCTTTGATTTGTCTGCTGACCAACCGACTTTTCTCGACCTGAGCTCAAAACTACGCAAGATTTTTACCTGATCTGGGTTATAAAAACAAGTTAAAGATGTTTCTCTATGAAAGATTAGTTGAAAAAAATTACCGAGAGAAAAAAGCTTCATTTTTAGTGTCACTTGCGGTATGAAACATTAATATACTGCACGTAAAATATTAACTGCTAAAAGCATGCCAGGAAATCTATTACATTATAATATGCGCCTTCGGACAAAAAATTCATACATGTAGAATGTGCTAGATGAGGCCAAGCAAAGATGTTGTTGTTAATGCTGAATTAATTTTGTTTTTACTTAAAAATAAAATAAAATAAATTAGATAAAAAGTATGTTTTCAAGTAAATATTCGATCAAATATTAATTCTTATACGGCGTAGCAACCATTTTATACATAATGAAAGGATCATTTTTACCTATCTGATGAAATACAGTATAAAATATTGAACGAACAACTTCAATAAATCGAACCAAGAATATTAAGTCTTTGATTAAACCAGCCCGACTTATTCCACTATTAGTTTAATTTTCATACATTATTGAGATCTGGTTTTTTTTGTACTTATGAAGTACTAACAATATATCGCAGATGAAAGCTCGAAAGATTGTTAACGCATTGCAGAAAGTTGTTTTCAATTTTAATTTGGCAGATTTAAATTGTGTAGTTTGTTTAAAAACAACAGTTTTCACGTGCGCTCCTGTCAATATACAGCTACTTATTGCCCCGACCCTTTAACGAACAAAACCGGTACTTTTTAATTTTACCTGGCCACTAACATTATCTCGGCATTTTTCTCTCCGTAGCTCATGAAAAAATGACAAGGTTTTACTTTTTATACCATTCGTTTTTTTTTTAAATGATCCAAAAATATTCATTGGGTGTAAAAGAACATGAGTATGATTAAAGTAATATGTTCAGTTCGTATAGTTCCGATTTCGTACGAGGACCAAATAAAGGATTTTGGAGCAACAAACATCGACAACAACGTTAATTCATGTAAAGTCATTTTACATCATATCCAGAAAAAGAATGACAGCTGATTTTTGTACAATTAAAAACGCCTGTGAAAGAACCCGGGACTCTTTCACGTTGTTAAATTTCAGTCTCTCGGTTGAAATAAAGAAACCAACGTTTTTTAACGCGCTGCAAAAAATAAAAAATAAAAATAAATAAATAAAAAATAAATAAATAAATAAATAAATATAATAGAATAAATAAATACATAAATAAATAAATAAATAAATAAATAAATAAATAAAATAAGTTGCCCCCTACCTCCAGAATGTTACGACATGTATTGTTATAGACAGGTATGAATCATATTCAAACAGGTTAATTCAACTTTGATGGAAGCTGTCAAGCGCACACGACTATGAATGGCAGTTTTTTAAACAAACGTCGAACACAATTACTTCACCCTTCTCTCCGAATATGTTAAACTCCAATATCCTTTGATTGACAAGATGCCAATCAAATTCATTAGTTTTGATAGTTGCTGTCAAGCAATAACAGCTTGATTGGCAGGTTATATAAATAAACGTCAATCACAATCATTACACAGTGGACCACTATAGTCGTCGAACACGTTCAGTTCAAGCTTCCTACATCCTTTGATTGACAAGGTGCCAATCAAATTCAGTTAGTTTTGATATCTGCTGTCAAGTAATAACAGCTTGATTGGCAGGTTATATAAACAAACGTCAATCATCGCGCACTGTGATTTCTCTCGCTGTGAAACAATGAGTACGCCGAAAGAGAGCGCTAAAATGTGAAGTTAGTAATTAACTTGCAAAATATTTCAAGAGAATATATATACAACCTGTTTCCAACACTAGTTCTCCTTCTGGACCCTTGAGCGTGTCTAATAAGACATTCAAGATTACAAACTATTTTGTGAAAAGAAGAATTTAGAAAAAAAAAACCAATTTAAAAAGAGAGTGAAGTAAAGAAATATGACGTTATTCTGGCAGTAGCGCATGGGTCATTTCAAAATCAGCACAGCTATGTGCCCCAGAATGTCCGTGAAAGAAGGAAGAATAAATCTTTATGCATTATATGTGGAATATTGGCAGATTCTTTTTCTGTCAAAGTCTACTTTCTGCAAAATAATAAATAAATAAATAAATAAATAAATAAATAAATAAATAAATAAAACAAATTAATCTTCATTAAAGGTGACATTCGTGTTGTGGTTGAGGCAAGTAGTTTAATTTTTGCGGGGCTAATTGTTAAACTTATAATTAGTGGATGGGAAACAAAAATATAACTGTAGACAAAAATATTACTATCCTATTTAAATAACAAACCGCTACTTCGCTCTTATTACTATTTTGTTAGTTTATTTTTGCTGCAGTAAAGCGTGGATAAAATAGTTCAAAACGCCCTCACAGTGCCGCTGGGGTTAGGTGAAGGGGCGAGGACAGGGGCGGATCCAGGATTATTAGAAGGGGGGTCCGGAACGACGGGCTTCGGATGCAAAGCCGACCATCGCCCCCTTGGTGTGGGGTTTGGGGCCTGCTCAACGGCCCCGACAAAAAATGGTGTTTTGGAGAGAAAACAGTGCCCTTAAGTATGGTTTAGAACTATGATTTAGCTAGTCAAAATTCTTATTTCAAGAGGGGAATATTGGTGTGATATATTTTTTAGAAACCGAAGGAGGGGGGGGGGGGTCAGGACCCCCCTCACCCCCCCCCCCCCCCAACACCCCCCACCCCACTAAGAGCCAATTGAGAAGGCCGAGCCTCCAGTACTCTATGCATTTATTAAATAATTTAGCAACCCACGAAGAGTTGGATAAATACATAGACCCTTTAAACTAAGTATTATAAAAAATGGGAATATCAGGAGCTTCGAACAAGCTGTTGGTGCCTTCTGCTGTTGCGCNAAAAAAAATTTTTATTTAAAGGGGGGAAATTTGGTGAATTTTTTAAAACCCGAAGGGGGGGGGGGGGGGTCAGGACCCCCCTAACCCCCCCCCCCAACTAAATCCGCCACTGAGCACTATAGTAATATTATTCTATTTAATCGTATGTATTTAATTTTGTTTTAAGACTAAAATGAAAATGATTAAGATTAGCTAAAATTATTAATACAGACTTCGGCTGCGTCATTTAATCTCGTCCCAGGCCTAACCCACAGTCTAAATCTCGTCCCAGGCCTAACACACCGCTTAAATCTCGTCTCAGGCCTAACCCACCGCTTAAATCTCGTCACAGGCCTATAACCCACCGTTTTTAAACGGTGGGTTATAGGCCTGGGACGAGAAATAAAATTCTCGTCACAGGCCTAACTTACCGCCTTAATCTCAGCACAGTCAGCCTGCACTCTGGCCAAGCTCTGTCTAACGGACCGCAGGTCCCTCTCTAGCCGAGACTTGGCGTCTTTCAGGTCGTTCAGGTACTCCTGTTGCCTCTGCTTGTTGCTCTTGATGCCGAATAAGTTGAGGATACTTGGTATAGGAATAGGGATGATCATGCTTATCATGGAGAACTGGTTCTCTACGAAATCCACGATGAATCCAGAAACGTCTGGTAAAAAGAAAGACGACTGATGAGCATTGCATATTGATGTTTTCAAGATGTGGCTTTTAACTGATTTTTTCCTGAATATCCATGTTAACTGGGGAATATAATATAATTAAAATTGAGGTTGATTATGCTGTTAACTGTATGTAATATTACATAAACCCGTTTTGTACACTTTACTTTGTGCCAGTAAACCATGTAACCTGTTATTCTCAATGAGCTATCATTTTAATCTCAAAATGATTCCTAAAGGATATATAAGGACTAAAATACAAATCTTATTTTAAAAAATCAGCCCGATTGTTTTGTTTTTTTTTTTGGTTTGAAGTAATGCATTTTGCGGAGTACATATTTCACATATTGGCATTTCCAATCCGTGGATTTTCAGGGGCAGATCCAGGATTATTTAAAGGGGGGTTCGCGGATGCAAAGCCGACCCTCCACTTCCCTCCCACCCCAAACTTGGGGTGGGGTTCGGGGCATTTTGTCCTCAACTTTAAGTATTTTTTCACAATGCGTGGTAACAAAGGTTTTGCAAATTTCTTTCATTTGACAGTTTTGACGTGTATCGTGTAAAACATTTGAATCTTCCCTGTTACTACATCGTCCAGCCTATCATAAATGTAACTAAACTGAAGATTTTATTATTGGCTTAAATATTATGAAAACATACAACTCAAATTAATGTCCTGAGTCAAAAGACAGTTTATTATTATTTTTTATTTTTAAAAGCTTGCGGCACCGCAAAAGTAGCCGCAAGCTCTTCATTGCGTTGCTTTAAAAAACATTCTATACATTTTCTGAGTCCTTAGACGTCATACTCGCTTCCTGGCGAATTTCAATTTTTTTACTTTAGTGAAAATAAGCCAGATTGATTGCAGAATGTGAGGTGGTGCTACGAGCGACAATAACGAAGGTTTTCAATTTAGTCCGTTTATGTTTTCTTGTCAGAACGGATAAATCTAGTAATTTTTTTAGATGCTAGCCTGATTTACTTGGACAAACAATTTATCCGCTCGCTTACTTTAATTATATATATATATATATATATATATATATATATATATATATATATATATATATATATATATATTGAGAGAGAGAAGTTGCTTCTTAAGGAACTTACCGGTGTTAATGTTCGTCTTGAGTTTCTCCAGTTTTCTGGTAATCTCGCCTAGCTCAGTGAGTTCCACGTCAGGTTTGGAGGCATCGAAATTCCCATACTGCGCTCGCATCGTGGTGATGGAGATCAGCTTGTGGACTCGGAATGTTAGCTAGAGATGAAAAAGATAAATAGATAAATAATTCTAAATAATATAATAAGATAAGTCAATTCCCAAAGAGTAAACCACTAAATCACCAGAAATAATTTTGGAAATTATAACAAGAAATACTGGTGAGCCACAAGTTCCAGGGACAAGTTTTTGTGTTGAAGGCCAATGACATCAAAACAAATAGGGATTGCATGGGATGGCAAACCTCCGTATTTTATATTCATTTGTTGAAAGAAATCTGGTTGCCGGGGGACGGACCGACATGTACAGGCATCAGTACCCGCTTCAACGAAAGGGGCCATGATAAATCGAACAAGTACATTGATAATAAGGAAATAATTATATGTAACATATGAGCAACGAAAACGGTAAAATGAGCGCATAAAGAAGTGAGGGCTTAGAAAACAAGCCATATACTAATTATATATAGAGAGTCAAAGCTAAATATTAAATTGTGTCATTCAGTTAATCTGATTTCATTCAGCAAGATTCCCCACGGAGTGAGATATCAGTCTTCTCTAGTTTAATTGTGAACGCTCCCTTAAACAGTAACCAGTGCCCTCACCTCGCGGAACATGTCCACCAAGTTCCCAAATTCTGTCTGCACCTGTTTCAGCTTGGTGCTCATGGCTTTGCATTCTTTGTACGCTGTATTACGGGCGTTGACCTTTGCTCTTTAAGTTAAGAAAAGAAATTCACAGAAAATCAATTCAAACCCACACTTATTTGAAAGAAAAATTAACGTGTAGGAAAGAAAATCCACGACCATTGTTCATTAATACACAATTTAAGAACAACTATCATACATGGCAGCTTTGACACACTGGAATTCATTCTATTTCTATTATACCACGGGGTTTACTTCAGTTGGATAATTCAAACTACAGTTATTCTGTCGAGGGGCTTACTTTAGTTAGATTATTTATACTATAGCTATGGTGTATAGCAGGGCTTACTTTAGTTAGATAATTTGAAAAAGGAGGTCCTTGTCCAAGCTTCAGATACTTACTTCAGTGTGTTGCGCAAACGTTCCACTTGTGGTTTTAGGTCACATATCTGATAAAAAATTAAATAAACAAATCAAGAACCCTCTTAGAGATAAAGCGTTAGTAATCAAGGTTGGTGTCTTCTATTACGTGTTCGTTTAACGTTGTAACCCTGATAGTCTTTCTATCTTATATATTTTGTACACTATCGGTTTTACGTTATAATGAGACATATGTATTATATGTAATAATCATCGGGCATTCTAAAAAAAAAAAGTGAAAATACGGTTTGGTATTTTTTAACTGCGGGTAAAGTCTGGGTTTTGAAAAGACCTTTATATACAGCTGTAGAGTCAATGAAACAATTCACTGTTTTCTCTTGACTCACCTGCACGTAATCCGGATAATTAGGACATCTGGAAGTTATTTTCTTTAATAGATTTGTAATGCCACTAAAAAATAAAACTGAAAAGAAAGAGCATTCATATTCTTAGAAATTAACATCCTCAGTGTCTACTCTCTTGCTATAAATATGCTACTCAAAAGGAGTTAGGGAACACTTAAAAATGAAAATATAAAAAAGTAAATTTATGTTTAAAAACTATGAACGTGAAAAAAGTAATTTTCAACCAATCGCCTTATACAGCCATGCCTTGTGTTTACACATAAAACAAACAAAGAAAACTGCCCTGGACTGGGATTGCGGCACGATGTCGACCTGACCTGGGTCTGTTTCCCAAACTCCCCGTTACTACTGTATATGTACTGGTGCAGCCCCGTCAACTATGGAAGGACTTGCACCTATATTTTGTCAGTGCCTCTTATGCCAGGGACTGCATTTAATAAGCCCATAAAGCCTATGATCCTTCCTATTTCCTCCAGTAAAGAAAAAAAAAAAAAAAAAAAAAAGAGCATAAGGACATGCCTGAATAATGTGCCAGTAAAATCCATAACGGTGAATATCATGATGACCATTCACAATTGGTGTGGCGAAGGTAAAATCTGTTCTCAGAACCTTAGTTTTCACTCAGGCGTGACCCTCGGGTAGTTGGGTCACGTATTTCATCCTCCAACCCACCAGAAATTTATAACCATTACTTTTTATGAGTGCTCAAAATTTATTGCAAAACAGTGAAAGTAGAAATTTTTTTCAACACAATAATGAGAATTGTTGATATTAATCTTGGTCTCTTTTCTATTCCTTTTTCTGTTTATCTATTTTATTCCTGGGTAAATATCATTGCTGCAAATTTTCTTGGGAGAATAAATCGTTGTTATTCAGCGGTCACGCTTTAATTTCACTTTTGTCAACTTCACAAAATGTTTATCGCTCGACGGAATGCCAGATATACATTTATCCAGTTTTTCCTTTTTTCACCCAAGACAAGTTGCGTCCAGGAGCAGTTTAGTTCTGCGGACGATGATCAGCGGGTACGTGAACCTAAGAGAGGACAGTAAACTGACCGCTGATATCCAGAGCTACTCTACAGGACTTTGGCAGAAGCTAACAGGGCATAAGTAGTATATTTTTGAAAAGCTGTCTGGGATGATTGAGGCGAGAGCGTCAATACCTCTCTGTATCTCGGCCAAAAAATGACCACACATCCATTGAAAACCGAACTGAAATGTGGATAATGCAGCGAGGTATATATGAACCGAACTTTACTTTATTTTTACTTTTTCCCAAGCGAGAGGGGCAAGGAGCTTATGATATTCGCCATTGGTATACAAGCCAGAAGTTCATGAAGGAACAAAGAGGGCATTTCCACCAAACTCAGCTCTTTCGTAACGCTTCACTCAGTCCCCACCACGTGGAAGTGGTGGCAAATACCCGTGGCTTTCACTTATGGAAGTTACAAAACGTTTGTGTGATTTTTGAACAATTCAAAAACACCACAGAAGCACAACTGTGATAATATTAATGCTTTGCAATATGCCACGTTTTTCTAAAAATTCATCTCGTACCTTTGGGAAAATTGCTCTTTTAATAAAACATGCTTCAAAATAAGTACTTTACGGTCAAATAAATTTTGAGAAATATTTTATAGAAATAAAACAACAACTTACATGCATTCGTCGTTGCAGCTAAGGAGAGGACCAACAGGAAAACTAACGCTAGTTTGGAGGCCATCCTGCGTCTCTGTATGCTGTCTCACACGCGGTGCGCTGGTTCTTATAGGTGTGGTCTGTCCTGCAACGCTGAGCTGACCTCTGACATGTGACGAAATCAATGACCCGTGGTCAGTACATGTGGTCAGCTTGCTGACTAAGGGCTCATTCCATATAAAACTATCGTTCTGCGTGGATCGAACCAACTCTCGCTGAATTCAGTCAAATTAAAATATTGACACGCATCCTTTTTCCCAAAGTACTCGTGTAATCACCAGCTTTATTGTATTGTCCTGAGAGGCGCGGAGGAGGAATGTTAAACTGTTAATCTTACTGCATTCAGCGATAGTACCCACGGGGTTGGATCGATCTAAGTAGACCGATAGTGTCATTGAGAATGAGCCCTAAGCACCCAATGATAGCAGAAATCAGTACCTATGGATGCGAGATGCTGTCATCCACGTACACAGCGTTCCTTCTGTTCCTCTGCTGATTCTTAAACAGAGCTCAAATAAAAGAACTGTTGTAGAATTGTCTTTCTGGATTTTCATTTTACCAAAAACCCACATGCACAATATTTTTGACTCCAGTGACGTTTGTAAGTACAAACTGAACTTAAAGAAGCAGACACAGGCTCCGCTGTATTGTAAGTTGACTTCTGCATAGTTATAATCATGATATAATATTCGATTCTAGGACAACCCCCTCCAACTCCAGGCACCCCCCCTCCCGAGACAATACTACACCCCCCTCCCCAAAGAAAGACAGTGCACTGCTTCTTGAAGCGTTTATACATTTCTTGAATGTTCTACTAAAATTATATGTAAAGACTAAGTACATGTATGGGATAGTAATTATGATATTCAAAACGTTCACACACCCTTTAACGGAACTGAAAGGTCACCTGAAATTATTAGATGCTACAGACGCAACATTTGCAAATGCGACTTGCCAAAATTTTTTTTCTTAAAGCAAACAACTGTCATATTATCAGCTTATCTGCGTTTCATTTTATCCGTTTATCTCGCGTTTGATTGTCAGTAAATAAAAATAATGAAACTAGAAAAGAACGCAAGTTTCGACAGTCGTTGTTTATCTATGTCAGGGAGACACTTAAAACTGACGGTTCAATCAAAGGGATACCTGGATGAAGGAGATTATCTCTGCCTGGAGATGCACCTCTACTAAAAGAAGGAATCACAGTATAACAGTACTCATTCTCAGTATGATATTTATTATAGAGGGGTGGGGGGATTGATTTATTTTAAGACTGCATTCACATCGAGTTGAGCCATGGATCTACAAAGTCACGAACTAAATATGGCGGACGTACATGAAAGGAAAACCGCCTAATCTTTTAATAATCTCCCCGCCTCTCACACGCCTCCCCATGTGTCACCCCAACGGAGCCGAGATTAAGTGACTGTACCCCCGCAGGGACGACGCGTGGGGAGATTACAGTAGCATCTCCTTTCAAATACCAGGATTATGTTTTGAAGTTTTGCTGTCAAATTTCATGTCTATCATGTATGTATAGGAATAATAAAAGAGCCAGCGTACCTTAAAAATCTGATCTTAGTTTTGATCGTGTTCTCATCCCTCCAGGTAGGTTTGGGCTGATTAAGAGCAGATGCATTTAGCGTTACTCTAGGCATAATAACTGAATTATATTTTTACTCTAGGCGTAATATATCGAATTATATTTTTCATCACGGATAATGTATTAATGGTATATGTTGTTTTGATCCTACAGATATAGATTACAAGAAGCCCTGGTATGTGTCCGCCCCCTTGAGTTGAACAGAGGACAAGGAATTTAAAAGCTTCTGATGTAGTTTCTGATGACATTTTAATTCGCGAAGTTGGAGCTGGTAATTGACCTTGATTGCGTCGTGGAACTTTGGGGTTTACGATAGTTAAATGTTGTTTGTTGACTTCACAACGTTGGATGGTTTCATTTTGAGCAGTGTTTTAATAACGTAACATGTTGAACTTGTGAATATGTACAGTTTTAAGGATCGCGTTATCCAAAGAAAAAAGGGACCAGGTTTATTTTTTATTTCAAATGTGTTATTTATCATGGGGGTGATAATGAATTGGGACCCGAAACTCGTAAGAAGCTGAGAATTCTGCATTATTGACCGGCGTGATTAAAAAAAAAACATATGCATGTGCGTGTGCGCGCGCGTGTGTGTGTGTGTGTACGTGTTTTGAGGGGGACGGGGGCAGGGAAGGGGGAGTAGCGGCTCCCTAGACAGCTCCCAGCCCAAATCATTGCTAATCTTAAAGCGATAACATCTTTTCATCGTGCCATAAAACGGATTTTCCTGGGGTTATCAACGATGTATCCGTTCCGACATTTAAAGTAAGTCGAAGTGGAGCTGAAGTATGAAGTTTGAAAGACTTTTTTTTTGTTAAATTGTTCTTTCCCTGACATTCAAAGTGTTATTTACAATGTATTTATTGTGGAGTTTTGAATCTCACATGCAGAGTTGTTATCCCTTAAACACATAAAAAGACAACAGATCTCACTGTCTTGATCACTTATCAATGAGGGTTTGATTCACGTCCTCTCGAAATACAGAGTTATGTTTTTAGTTTTGTCTGATTTTATTTGATTTTCCTGGACTGGGGAGAGGGGGGATGTCTGCTGATGCAGCTAGATGGCCCTACAGTTGTAAAATGTTAATAATAATAGTATCGGTGTTAGGGGAACAAAGCGTTATTTCTAGTGCTAGTTGAATTGGAATGCCAGTTCAAAATAATTTATGTGAATTTGTTTATAGTTCAGTTATCGAAGCACCCATGGACCGTATATTTAGCACTCAGATCGTTTACTTCTTTCACATATGTTTCATAATACAAATATATTTAAAATCAATAGGCATTAAATCACGGAAATATATCGTAGATAAATGTATATTTCCATGCTAATAGACACGAAGTTTTGGTTTGCTGTTGTTTTTGGTTTATCTGAACTCGTAAAAATAGTGAACAAATGAAGCTACAGTATGAAGTTTGAAAGAATTTTTTTAATCGTTCTTTCCCTGAAATAAAAAAAATACCACTTTTCGGAATTATGTTTTTATTATCAAATTTGAAAGATGAACTGGGCGATTTATTTCAGTGTATTCGTACACGTCCCCTCCATACATTACCGTGCGTCTGTATCAGCAATGTATTCTACTGCTAACTGCTAATAAAATTAAAAAGGGTAGAAATGCTGTACCTAGAAATGGAAACCCTAGAAGTGAATCAAAATGTTGTCTTTTCTAAAGTCAGTTTCATTTAAAATTACGCCTGTGCTGGTACACATCATATATTTTTATGACCTTGTACACTGTAATATTAAACAACGATAACTTGGTCTCGCTGCTTTATTATAGTTCTCGTTTACAGTTTATTGCAAGTTGATTAGAAATATTATGTCCTCATCAGTTGTCATGTCTTGGGTAAACATGTGACAGATTCTGTCACACCTTTCAGTTTTCGGTCTGGTGTGTTTTAATGTGGGGCTTTTGATCACTTTGAAAAACGTACATGTACATGTAGACTAGCGCGGGCTGATTATTGTAATTTGTCTGTATCAACAAACCTGCAGGTTGCTATTTTATATCTTCGGCTAAGCTTGTTCTAGATTGCAGTTTTACCACCCGATTACACTATGTTGTTATTGCACAGTAGTGTTTAACCAAATTTGTCACAGTTTAAAAACGGTAAGTTTTTTGGTGGCGACTGCCCAAGCCAAACATCATCAAGATCCACATTAAGAAGTTTTCAGGTCCCTTTAGATCAGAACATACATTTGATATCAGGGCGTGGCTTGTTTTTGGCAAATTGCAGCTGCTAATCTCATGTACGAGTACTACCCTCTACCAGGGCTGCAGTTATTATTGTGGACACTTTTGCTGACTGAGAGCCAAAATGACTCTATTTATCTAGAGACATATCTGTGAATATCTGTGGAAAATCAATCTGTCACCCTGGTAAGAGGGTATACGAGTATATGTTTGTTTGTTGGACATTGGGAGGATTTTGCACCATAACTTTTATCATATGACAGAACTCAAGCTTTTTCTGTAACAATATGAATTTATTGCAAAAGCAGATGAGCAGAGTACACAGGCTGTTATTTATGAGTAGTTGTGGATAGAGAATTGTTATCTAACAGTATGTGGTAATAACACCTGCTACTTCCCTCCCATACAGGACAATTATCGAAACTCAACATCCAGCTAGTTTAGAATTAGACTTCAACTGCAGCTGGGAGGGAAGCAGCAGACAAGGCGGTAAGAGCCGACACTCGTCACCGTTATTAGCTAACAATTTTTATCCTAAATTATAATATAAGAATAAACGCTGGGTCAGTAGATTTCCATTAAATGATGAATTATACATTTTACACGTATACAGCATATGTGCAATAAGCAAAGATGAGCACACGATTCACAATATTAAAAGCAATTTAATGTAATGTGTGTGTAATATATGTACCTGTACCTGCCTACCATCAATATCAACAGTATACATATCTTACGAATAGCATTATATGATAATTACTATGTTAGAAAGAAGCTGATGAGTACAAATACAATAATGTCATTTTTTGGTTGTACTGCTTTTGATCTAAATAGTATTATCTTAAAGTGTACATTAAAGCTTTCAGCTAAGAGAAAAAATAAGTGATTAGTGCAGTTCTTGTGCCACACAATAGTTCATGAATTCTTTCTCCATCATTTTACACCCTTTTAAATAAACAGTCTGTAAACACCGTAACTAAAATATCGTCAAAGTGGAGCAAATAATTTTCTGATTTCACAGATCTTTGTTACAAGCATAGTAACACACAGCATTTGTCACCATTAACAGAATACAATACAAAGTCCAGTATAAACCATATCATAATTCTTTTTTGTTAGTCTGAGTTACAGAGCATATACAACAGCCAGTCAGCTCTACCATTAAACTATAGACTTCCATTGCTAACAGTTTGCGCTGTTGTGTCCTTTCTGTTTTCACAGAATGTCACTAAAGTGCAAATCTTCTAGCTGTCCCTATGGCCCTTTACAGCACATGATGCAGGATAAAATAACATGTACTCATTGTAAGCCTTTGACAAGTTGGTTCTCATGATGCGCACACTGAATAATACACATAAATATAGACATAGGTACATAATTTGGCATTTTGGAGTGCTTTTCTCATCATTTTTTCTGCTGTTTAGAAATTATGACTATTCTCAATAATTTCTTGGTATATAAAAGTAAATCAAACTACATCTTTGCCCAGTGCTTTCCAATACCTTCAACCAGTTCTAACAAAACTGCTTTATCTGACAAAATTGCTCAATGTTTGAAGGACCCGTTAAATAAAAATGTGCAATACTTACACCCCAGGCCTACTACAGTAAGCTACAGACACAAAGCTCTTCTTTAGGACAATATCCTTACAATAACTGTTGACTTTTTAGTTAACTATAATACACTGCATATGAAAATTGTAATAAGCTTGGTTATGCCTCATGTGCCTCGCAGTTAATCAATATAACACACGTATGAAAATGATGCTCAGTGATTATGAAAGTGAGTAGTAACAATAAAATAAATGAACAGAAACTGTATAAATATAAAAAGATATCGTTTGAATGTAAACTTAATAAACCCCATAATGCAATGAGATATGCATGGATATATATATTTTCACCAAAACAGAGCCAACTTGACGCCCAAAATGCATTATGGAATTATGATTTACTAAAATAATGGTGTTGAAATAAAATGTGCCAATATCTTAACCCTAACACTCATACCAAAACACTTCAGTTGTGTTCATAAACTAATTGCACAGATTCTGAAGTAAAATAACAGAGCATGATCAAGCTAACTTTGGCGTATCTGCAATAATGATTCAAATTTTAATTGGTATTTTTTCTATTTGGCCCTGCTTATTTATCCCAGAGATTTTGAGAAAGATTTTTGTTGCACAAATCCCTTACTGCAAACAAAACTACACAAAATGGAAACATGTCAACAATTACAAACAGAATTTGTGAGCTGTGCTTTTACGTTTTGACTTTCACTATTTTCCAATGGTGTCATTCATTCATAAACCTGTTGCTGTCTTCAGCAGAAACATTTTAACTTTTAAATATGTCTATTAATATCACATACATGATAATCATTAACTATACTAATAAGTTAGATAAAATTAAATTTAAGGCTAAACAATGTATATATTATGTGTACAAAAAATAATCCTCAGTTCTTGCATTCAAGAAAGAGGTTGCAGTAATGACAATTAACTGTAGCTTTGTTTGTGTGCTTGTGTGTGTGTGATTGTGAGAGAGTCTAAAGTACATAACTTCTTAAGTTAAGATCTGAAGTCATAAGTAGCGTATGTCGCGTCTGGGTGGCCATTCCAGTATCCGCCATTGCTGTGCATGGTGCCGTAACCATGGCTACTTGGCAGTGTGCTGTATCCGCCGCTCCCAGGTCGTCCCTGCAGTGCTACCCCTGTACGCAGCTCATGCATGTACCTCTCGTACTCTTCCTCTGTGTCGCAGATGCGCACCTGGAAGGGACTCCCTGGAACGTGTTCTCCCGACCACTTGACATGGATGATGTAGTCACCGACCTCCGTGGGGTCATAGCGACAGAGAATAGTGCGGTCTTTCTGACTCTCTCGCTGCATTTCTACACGGAAAGCGCCTGTAATTATGACCATTCGAATTAAATATAACATGGGATTTTGAAGTTAATTGTTAAGACAACATGCTGCTTCAAAGAAAAACTGTAGTTAGAAAAATAACTACAAAGCACTACATTTTATCTTTGTGTCAGATCTGATATTTGCAAAGCTTGCCCTTTCCTTCTCAACTCTTCTCTCAATCTTTTCAGTGTTGAAAATTCTCTCAATTTTTCAGATATATTATTTTAGAACCATTAAAAATATTTTACTGTGTAGCACGTGTGGTGTTTTTCTGAATAAAATAGAACTATACAATAACCTGGTTTTTAGTTCTGTTGCTACTACTCAATAGGAGTGTTCTGATTTTAAGAATTTATGACTTAAAAAACTACAGTATTTGTTAAATTCAGAAAGATTGATTCATAACTGTAATGGAATATTCTCTAGCTGATACCAGTTCACTCACCCTTTGGCCCTCTAATCCTGACGGTCAGTTGTCCAGCTCCTGCCCCCTTGGTGTCCACTAAGAACCTGCTCTGGTACCTGGCCAGAATACCATGGGACACACCTGGCCCACTGACCCTCACCTTGCTGGCGTCTGGTGCTCCCGAGACACGCAGGACATAAGGACTGCCTGGGGACGAGAAGGGGGGTTGTGAACAGTTTTTAATAAATGCTGAAAATTTCATGACTCTACTTTTAGCTTTGGCACAACAAAAAATAACTAACTAACTAACTAACTAACTAACTAAAACCTTAAGACAAAAAAAATTGATGCCAGGCTTAAGATAAGTGCCAGAGTCTGGCAATATTGACACCTTGACTTAACTTAAGATGTTAAATTTTTTATCAGTGTGCCCAATTTAAGAAAAACATCATTTTCCTAAAATATCACAAATTCATTGCATTGCATTCAACCGTTGAAGTTTTTGAACTTTGAAATTAGTCACTTTTTGAGCCATCCAATAAATCAAATAATATCGGACAAAAGGAAGGCAGAGGAAGGTTTGGCCCCCACCTTGAATGTGTTCTCCGCCATATTTGACAGTGAGGATGTGTTTGCCAGCCTCCTGTGGTTTCACAGACATGGAAAAGGTGCCATCTCGGTGGTCAAACAGCTCCACATGGGCTGCTCTGGAAGGCCCCATACAGTGTGCTGTTAGCTCACCTGAAAATAATACAATATACAATGTTACACAGGGTGGGACACAACACAATATTCAATATTATACAAGGTGGGGCACCACACAATACATAATATTACATGCAGTGGGAAATCACACAATACCCAATATTACACAGGGTAGGACAATTATACATATATTCTTTCTATCACAATTTCATAAACCTTAACTCTCTACTGTGAAGGTATTTCTACAGACCTCCTGGCAAGCTTCAGATACCATCAACATTTTAGTTCAAGAATTTGCTAATATGACCACATAAATATAAAACATAATTCAGTGAGTATTCATGCCACTGCCTGGCTGGCCTCTGATGTGACGTGTGTTCTCATCCCTCACCTGGTCCTGCCCTCCTAGTGTCTATGATAGACTTGATTTCTTTGCTCATAATGCCCGTCCTCAACCCCTCACCACTGGCCACCACTTTACTGGCATCACCGCCGGCGCTGACATTGACCTTGAACGGAGCACCTTTCACCTGTCTGTGGGACCACTGGATGTTCAGCAGGTACGCACCTGGAAACACAGAACACTGGGATATTAACCAGGATTTGTGATCAGAGTGAGGGAATATAGTTGAATATATCACATTACTCATTACAAATGAATTGTTTACAGTGTGTCAGAGTATTTTGACCATTTAAAGAGGGCAACTACTAATGTTAAATCTCCAGGTTTATATTTTCTACCCTCAACTTCACTTTTGAACAAAAACAACAAAAACTTGGATAAACATACAAATCTTTTCCAAGGCACTAAGTTATTAGCTATACTGATTAGTGTAGGATGAGTTACAAAATTTTATCTTGAATGTGTTACAATAGCATCAGGAAGGACACAGAGAGTTTCAGCAAGTTGTCAACATTACCTGCACTCTGTGCTGTGTAAGTACATCTATACTTGTCTCCTCCAAGACTCTTTACTTTCACATGAATATCTTCCTTCACTCCTGTCATGGAGACCTCAGGTGTGCCTGCAAGTGGATTGCTTGCATCTTTCAACTGATCAAGGTATTTTAACAGTTCTAAAGAAAATATTACTTAACAATACATTTAAAGCAAACGTATTGTCTTATGTAAGCAATGTCAAAAAGGAGCCAATTGAAATACATCCTCTCTCACCTGTCCTCCTCTCTCTCACTTGCCCATCTTCCCGCTCTCTCTCACCTGTCCTCCTCTCTCTCACTTGCCCATCTTCCCGCTCTCTCTCACCTGTCCTCCCCCTCTCTCATATTTCTTCTCTAATCTTTCCTTTCCCTCTCTCACCTGCCCTCCCTCTCTCTCTCTCTGTCTCTCTCACTCACCTGCCCCAGCCTGTGAGCCATCAATGACAAACTCGGCCTCGTGTCCCACTTTGGCCTCCTTCAGCCCCCGTCCAGTCATGGTCACTTTGGTGTGGTCAACGGGCAGCCTGTGTCCAGCGGCCAGACCTTTGTATGGTGACTTGGGCAGTGCCACCTCAGACCACCACAGGGAGATCTTGTATTCACCTGCAGAACAACCATAGTGAGGATTAGTTGGATTTCTTTCTTTACTGAGGGTGTCATTGGGTATTTTCTTTACCATGAAAGCCACTTTTTATTTCCCTAAACATATATGAAAATGATATATAATTATGATTCAGATAGATCCATGAAGAGCCCCATTCCCTTGACTCGTGAATGAGGCTTTTTATTCTTCTTCCTTAGTGAAATGAGGTCATTATACTCAGTGATTCAGGATTTTCTACTTATATTTAGTGCATTTTAATGAGCTATGAATAAAGATTTATTCACTGTGATTTGTAAATTGATGATTTTATTTCCTCTGAACTGTGATCACTCCCTCTACCCCCATTAGGACTCTACAGTTCAATCTGACTGGGACAACAATAACTCTTCGTTGCGGCCAAAAAATGAATTTTCCTGGAGTAAACAACAATTTTCCCATACTTACCAATGGTTAACGAATCCAATTTTACATTCAAAGTTAGTCCCTGGTTTTTTTCTAAAAAGTTTGGTTTTTTGTTAAAATCTCTTAAGAGATTATAACAGAGTATAGCCATCAATGGAGGTCATGTGATCTAAAGACAAGCTCAGATATCAGAATAATAGCTATAACTGCCGTTTTTGTGGTAAAACAGAATATATTATATTTTTACAAGTTATTCACAATGTTTTTACTGTGAAATATAGATCTCATACGAAGAGTTATTATCCCTTTAAAGATAAAACGACATTCCATATTAATGCTATATGGGCTTGTTTCTTTATATTGTAAGTGAACAGTGGCACTTAGTTTTCTGGAAGGTTAATTTTTTTGCATCTTTTTCACATCAAGACCCTTGCCATACTGTCCTAAGACTTACCCTCTACTGTGGGTGTGAAGATGACTGTCTTGGTGAAGTCACTGGTGTTTTCTATCTCTACTGGAAGACGGCCAGCAGGTCCTATAACTTCAGCCTTTAGTTTCCCTGGAATACAGTATAAGATATGAATGAGTAAGTCATGGATCTGTTGTGGAAGATCTTACAGGTTTGGAGATCAGACCATCAACATGGAGTGTTTATGTTTATGCAAATTTTCTGGTAGAGCACATCAAAATAACTATAAAAGACACTGAAATGAACTCTATGCTAACCGTTCCATGCCTGTGGATCAAATAATGACAGAGGCAGCACTTGCCTTGTTTAGCACATGTACTTGTATTGCTTATACATAATAGATAAATGTGCATAACATAGATTTTTTCCTTCTGAATGACAACATTTGACAGCAGCAGGGTGTTTAAAAACTATTCAATCCCTACAGTCCTTCTGTACCAATCAAACCTAGCTGCTTTACTTCCTTGTCAAGTTGAAAGGTATCTGACAATTCCAATGCAAAAAATAGCTACTGCTAACATTTTTATCTTGGTATACTAATTTTTTAATGCAAAAAGGCTCATTTTTTAAAAAAATCAATCACAGACACTTAAAATCTTATAGATCTGAGTCAAATCTACCTGGCCCAGCCTCAGAGCAGTCAAAAGCTACCCTCTTGGCTTCTCCCACTGACAGACGCACTTGGTTGTTGGAGTCGAGGAAACTCTGCCAGCCACCCAGGACCTTCACCTTGCGGGCATCCACTATACGTGGGTGGAACGGACTCCCTGCACAGACATCAACATTGTTGGATTAACAGTAGTTTAAGTCATTTGATATGTTCAGTCTAAGAAATAAATGAATCAAGCAAAAAACATCCATAAAGATGAACTAAAATTTGGTATAAATGCCCAAGCTTCGGCATTGGTGCCTTTTTCAGGGATTAGAATTTCATAATAAACAAACTTCAAGGATATGTGACGTACATGTAAAGGTGCATGGCTTAAACAGTACATGCTAAGGATTAAATATTATAAAGATTAAGTAACAATGATAGAGACTGATATTTTCTGAGAAAACTGTTGTCTCTGTTGAGTCTCTATTGCTCAATTTGTAGCATTCACTCTTATTGCAATACTTGCATTATCTAGAATTCTACAACATTTCAACAGCTGGTATAATACATTTTCTGTTTCGATCTATGAATCAATATTAAACTCCACAGAACTTGCTACGGACATGATGTAGAGATGGTATGGGTGTTTGAGCATGGGTTACCTGGTATCTCCATCCCGTTCCACTTCACTTGAATGTTATACATGCCCACCTCTACAGGAACATAGGTGACAGCATACAGCCCGTCTCTCTCTGGGTCGATGTTACACTTGGCAATGGAGTTGGGACCATCTACCTGCACGAACAGGTCTCCCTTCATGCCCTTGGAGTCCACCATGAACGTCGCGGGTTGGTCCTCCTCGCCCTTGTATAGTCCGTCACCATACGCGCTGATATGGGCGATGCTGCGGACATCTTGTGTGTAGGGAGAACCTGCCAAGAGAAAATGACATGGCTGACACATGATCTAGCAGGTTTAACATGCCTTTAGTTGTAAGAAACATAGGAAACACTTTCTTTTCATATTACCAACCAGAATTGTACATACATTACCTTGATTTCCTAAAAGAAACCAGGAAAATAAATATAAAATTATATATATAACACATTTAAAATTCCTGAAAATAATGAAAAGCAAATAAACATGTAAATATAAAATAAGACCAATGCGGTTTCTGGAAGTAAAAATTCCCTATAGAAATCAATATGTATGTGAAGATTGGTAGCAGACCACGAATATCAGCAAAATCTTTGCATGTCTTTAACTGCCACAATGAGAACTAAACCTATAAATTTTTTTCAACCTTCCAGAATAAAGGTATCAGAATTAATTTCCAAGATAAAACAATACTTCACTGCACACACATGGTGTGGACTAATAACAACTCTGTCTTGACAGAACGCTTTTCCCAAACTAACTCGCTTCATGTTACTGTTAATGCTTAAGTTTATATTATGCAAGACTGAGTTTGATAGTTCTGATGATATAAATAATAGCAAGCCTTTCACATATACACCATTTAAATCATGCAAACAATATAGTCGGTGTCAGAGGAACAAGTTCAAAGCTATCGCTGTTCATGTTACAAAAAAATTCAACACAAACTGGGATGGAAACTTTATCCATACTTCTCAACTAGATACTATGGGTTGAATATCCATGCTTGCAAACCAGTATAAGAAAATCTACTTTCAAAAAGAATGATCAAAACAATGCTACAGGGTTTGGAAGGGAGATAAACTTACTGGTACTGATGGTAGATTGCATAATTTCTAGAGACCACCATACCCTTACACACAGTTTAATTAACTTCACTAGTAAACATGCATATACGGCAGTACGCTATTCATTAGGAAGAACAGTAATCTATTTGGGATTGTTTGTTGTAGTTTAACTGTTTCTATATATGTTCAGATTCAGGAGATGACTGGGTGTGGACTAGGACATACAAGGGGGGGATGAACTCCCAAACCTGAAATACGTAAATGTTTGCCAGGAGGTCAGGGGTTGACAGCAGGGCTGGAGATGGGCATTTCCTTACCTCCATATTGTGAACTATAACTGGTACGGCGTGTTGTGCTGTATATACTCTCTTCTCTTGGAGGAAGTCCTAAGGGCGAAGTAGCTTATTGTTATAGCTTATTCATATAGTGAACAGAACAAGAACACAGAATAGAATCTGTGCGAGTTGTGTAAAAACTGCGGAAATGTTGAGGACTTCTAAGTTTGTGCGTAATAAAAGTATTATTCATTGTTCCAGATGTGTCAAAGACAGAGGGTTATATAATGTGTAGTTGATAATTCTTGGTTCAGGATTTCCCTAATACAGTAGTACATTGCTGACTGTGTTTGCACTTTGTGTGCTGTATTCTCAGTGGCAGTTAAACTATATATCACTGACAGCATATTTGTAATTAGTCTGGTGTAATTACCTCCATAAATCCCATTGCCATATATATTAGACAACCTTCTGAACTCTAGTCTGAGTGGAGAATCTAAATGAAGACACACATCATAATAACACACCATCACTGTCATCTCCCATACAACTTCTAATGCATCAATGTTCATAAACATAATAGTATTATATAAAGACAACATTTAAATTACTGTTTCTAAAAACTAAGGAATCAAACTGTCCATTACTACATCAACAGGTCTAATAATAAGAGTACTCGTAATGTGCCACTGCATTTATGTCTCATTATAATACAGGATGGAGCATGCATTAGACTAACATCCCAATTTGTCTGATTGTGACAGAAGAGGGAATATTTGGAAGTTGGCAATAAATGACACTTATCAGGAGTACATAAATATGGAATCTATATACCAGCTAACGGAATGTGGTATTGGCAATATATTGAATTGACATGCATACCAACTGGAACATTGCCATGGTGGCCACTAAAATGGTGCAAGCACTCATTCAGCTTCTGGAGAAACAACTGAACGAGCCTAAAGACATGGAAAGTGAAAGTATTTCTAATTGTTTCTTTGTGATGGGTACTTTGAATACATTTGGGTACTTTGGTAGTGTTAGATCAGGAATTGGGGGAGGAGGGGTGCTATACAGGGAAAAGCACATGGATCTCTCTCGAAGATGGGTGACATTTTCTCATAAGGCTTTTACTAAAATGAGGTCTTTAATTTAGAGTTTGGACAGTTTGGATATATGATCCTTAGCAACAACAGATATTGTCAACCAAGCTGAATAACCATGCAGAATTCCACTGGAACTTTATAAACTGTATATATGCATGAAGATCTGCTAGGAGCTGAAAGCAGATCTTTATACCATAAACATGCTTAGTATAGGTGTATAGATGGAAACATTACTGTTGCAGGTAACTATTCGTAGAGAGAGAATACCTTCGTAGATGTTTTCAGTGACATTCCGTGATATGGTCCCGTAGTCCTGACGCTGGCCCTGTTTACCTGCCATGGTTCACACATGGGCAATTAACGTATCAAATGACCCCATACATGTCTCAATACTTACACATACACTGCAGTATTTTTTTGTAATACATAATTTTGGTATTGTTTTGTCTGATTATAGATAGAATTATTGAATCCATTTTGTTCTGAAAGCATAAAAGCTATTTACTTGTTTGTGTAATTTTGTGTGCCAAAAAACTTTGAGTTAAAATTTCTTTATCAATATGTGTATCAAACTATATCCTGAGATTCACATTATAATTATGAATATTTCTAACTGTGTGTTCTTAAGTGTCTTTGTCAATAACATCTGCTACCTTCATAGATACCATCCCCGTATACCCTGGTCACCAGATGTCTCTGCTGTCTCTGACCTGACGGAACAATCAGCAGTTATTAGAATAGGGGCACGCTGTCACTGAATATCACTAAATATTTACTTTTAGGTTCAGGAGGCAGCAATGAAAGTTTGGATGTGACATCCCAAATTAACAGTTTATCAAATATCTTTTAAATTAATGAACCCATTCTTACTGACACTCCAGGCATTTAGATTTAAGTTATTAAATAATAAGTTATATACAGCTGATGCTGCAAAATATTTATAAAGATCCATAGTGAAATCAGAACTTTTTGATGACAGCTAATAAAGTATAACAAAGTAAACTACAAGATACAAAGGCTGCAAAAATGTTAGAGCTAAATGACTTCAGATGTAACTAATCTGGGAAATTAAAGTAATTATCAGTCTCATTTTTGGTCTGTAGATAACTTCCGCAAGTTCAAGTTAAACAGTGTAAATTCCTTTGGTACTGTATATTAAAGTACTTTTGATAACAAAAGTTTTGGCACTTTTGACTACAACTTGGATAACATAATTTTTTATCCAGTTTGATGATGAATAAATGTACACAGAACGTTTATTTTAAGGATGGACCATTGAAAGAAGCCAGAATCCCTTCTCACCTTCTCCATAAATCCCTTCTGTATAAAGTGTGCTGTTAGTAGATGCTTTCACTGCCTGGATACCTGAGCATAAAACTATACTCTGTAGACTTCAATATGGGTAATTTGAGAATCATAAAATTTTAACTTAATTAACATAAAGGAAGGTTTGTGTGAGAACACCTACTATCTATTTTATAACATTTCATCTATCTCTGCATGTAATATTTAGAGCGTGCACACACGTATGCATGCGCACAGACATGTGCACGCATATACACAGATACACATACATACATACATCAAACACAGTCACACAATCAAAGACACCACCGATGCACACGCACACACACACACACACTACCATCTTACCAGGCCTGTGTCCATATAATTGGTTCTCTCCAGACACAGACATGTTTGTTCTTCTTACTATTGTCCCTCCTGGAGGTTAGAAATAACTTTAACAATCAGCTCATATCTAGCTATAGACTGCTTCTGGTCTACATTGCCTTGTCATCAAATTATCAATGTTTGTATTCACTTTGTTATCAAATCAACCTGAGCTACATACTGTGAAAGTATAGAATTCAATATCATTGAATATTCTTAGAATAACACCAAAACAGCAACTTTTTACAAAAGGGATCATTATATGCATTTTGTCATCATCACAATAAGGCACTTGAGCTATCAATGAAACACACTCAAAATACGCATTGGGCATCAATTATTTAAACAACAAAAATAAAAAGGACTGGTTTCATCTAGCTGAGTAAAGAGAGACTACCGGGAGTTTATAAGGTATTATACAACGGAAATGGTTCTGAGAATGTGGTTGCAGTGCCTACCTCCATACACACTCTCCCTGTTGGTGGAGTACGTGGACTGTCGCCTGCCTGGAGAATAGACAGTGGGGCACATTGCAGCAGGATGTGACAGCTGTCACAACTAGCACAATGCCATAAAATAATGTTCCCAAAATGAGACAAATTGCTGCAGAATGTGACGGCTGTCACAGCTAGTGCAATACCATAAAGTTATGTCCACATTTGTGAGTGTGATGTTTTTTTTTAAATGTATTAATTGAATTGCTGTTGATTACATGGATATGAATTATCAGATGAATAATTTAGTTCAAATATTTCACACAACAAAATGATATGAAAACATTTTGTTATAATAAAGATGGGAAAGGGTTTTTGATGTCTGTAATTACAAAAAGCTGTAGTATAGGTAAGCTATGGCCTAGCCATTTTATGACATATTTCTGATTTAGGATAATATAAAAGTCTAAAAGCGCAGGGGTTGGGGAGGAAGGGCCCTATCTTATACCACTGTGGCCTATTTCTTTGACCTCCAGGACTACATATCCACATGCCCAAAAAGGGAGACATAGATAGAAGGGACATTATGGCTGTATATTTTTAAATAGTTTTTTTCTACTGGTTTTCCACTTCATGCAAGACCATCCTACAAAATCCACTACCATACTGATGAGAAATACAGATGCTTACAGCAAATCTTGTTCAGAAATGTTTATCTGCAAACCTTGGTGGTTATTCATTTGCTTTGACATTTATTAAAACCAAGAAGCAAACAATTCTGTTCAGTGTCAAACCTTGGGGGTCATGCTCAACACATCATGCAGGGTAATTCCCCGGGGTTTCTCTGGAGACCCTGACTACCTTGTCCCCCTGGCTCTTCAACACTGGGTCTGGAGGTGGCATAAATGCCTTCATGTGTTGGACGCACTGTGGAATAAATGTCCTCAACCTGTGGCACTACTCATAGAAATGGGATTAACACAAAAGAGACAACTTAAAAATGAATACAGATATCCCTGTACAAAATTCAGACTGAAATGGAAATATTAACAATTTACTACCAGTATATGAATGAAGGAGGCTGTTACTTGTTCAATATCTTCTCCATGTGGTGCTGGCATACAGTGGGAGAACATGCTATTATATATAAATATATTTAGTCCTAATGTCTGTATAATGTCACATATTAGTTAATATCACAATCAATCAGATTTTTAAATGTTCTAAATTAAGAAATCTAACTTAAAGAAAGAGTTAAAAAATTCAATAAATATACAGTAAACTATCCAATATTTATTACCACAGTGCAGACAATGCTAAATGTATTGCATGTAGTAGTAGCAGTAATAATAATAATAATAATAATAATAATAATAATAATAATAATAAATATATTAGAAAGCTTCCCACATATATATGAAGTCTTGCTTAATGGTAAAAGAGTAGAGATGGTCAGTTAGTAAGATGATATGTTAGTCTGTATAAAATACAGGCAATGCACTGAACAGCCATATTGCATGCTGTAACAGTCCCATCATGAGCATCAATAGATTAATACTGAAGATAGGTCTAATCTACACATTGAATTCAGAGTGGAATTTCATGTTAGTGGAATGTTGGGAGATGTTACATGTAGTAGTACCTATTTTGTGAGGCCCTCTTCACAGTAAGCAGTACACCTTGGCAATTCAGTTGATAACACGTACTACACTTATTTGAGAGATTGACCACTTTATAAATTGGTTACTATGAGAAAGAGTAACTTGAACTTTTGTCTAAATCTGTGAAAGTGATGAAAATCTCTTGTGGGTTACTTATATGTTAGCTGGTACATTTTATAAATGTAACATGTATACTGCTTGCTGTGCAGAGAGCCTTACTGCCTCATATTATGTTACAATTTTAGCACACATGGTTTGCTAAATCCAAGTGACACAAAAAGCTGTCCAATGTATCAGGGATTTTCATGTTCTTGCATGTACGACATCTTTGTGACGAAGAATGCAATGAAGGAAAATGTAAAAACCCCTTCATCTGACAATGCTGTTCTTGTAATTAAATTAATGAAAGGGAGAAGTCTGCAACACCGTTTTATCTGAATAACTTCAGTGACACATAAGTTATTAAGAATTCACACTACAAACATATTCAAGAAATCAACAGATTAGTCAAAGATGTCTAAATAAACAAAAGTTTATGACATCACATACATATGAATACATCATATGAGAGTGTTCAGAGTAAAGATCTGGGTTAGAACAGCACTCAGCAAAAGCAGTAGTACACCATGGGAAGCGTTAAGAAAGGCGTCTTACACCAGCAGTACAGCAGAGCTGAAAGTCAGAATAAAAATAGAAAAAACATGAACATCACAAACTGGCTGGTCTGAGTTGCCTCCATATGATACTGAGGCTTGACCTTGACCTTACCTGACCTCTGTGTTTCTATAGTTTGGCGTTGCACTGTGGCATACAGGGGCTGCTCGCGAACTTCTTGTATGAAAGGTGATCCTAAACAAATGGGAGGAATTGGGGAGAGGATAATTAATCATGCAGTCTTAATTAACTGAATTTATAATTACAAAGTACATGCAAACAAGTAATAGAAATGCAAGCAATATACAAAGGCGAATAAAAAATTTTACCAATAATGATATAATTTTCATCAATAAATAATATAACTATGTCAAACATTTTGCAATGTGGATATAAATCACCAAATTATTTTTGAATCAATGCTTTTAAACCATGGCTGAAAAGGAAGAAATGAATACACATAGTTAGGCACACGTCAAAACTAAGTATTGCAAAAGGGCATATTTCTCCAACTGGAAGCAGGAACACATGCACCAATGCTGCCAACCTGTTGGTAAAGGGAAACAGATATGGGCTCTACCTTTAATCCCATTCCTTTATGAATACAGAACTATGATGGCTTGTAATGCAATAAGCTAAATTTTTGTTTAATAAAATGAATAAACCCTAAAACATACAAATGCGAATGTGGTAGGGAGAGCAAGCTGAAAAACATGACCCAATTGAATGGAACATCAAAGGAAAGACTTGTTAGACAAAACTAATCCAACAGATCAGGAGGAAATGCAAGGCAATGGAAATAATGCTAACAAGGGGACAGATATCAAAACATTTTAAAGATCAATGAGAAAATGGCAACATTATAGGATTGCTTGACTATAAAAATGCGCAATCCATGATACCCATGAACAACTCAGGAGCTGCCTCATACTGGATATAAGCAAGGTAAAGTAGGTTCTGGAACTTGAAAGCAAGGACAGGGTTCCCAGGCTTTGAAAGCTTTATAAATTCTACTCCCTGCACATACTAACCCTGACTGACTCTAAAGTGACAGAGTTTTAAATCCTTCATCTTAAAAGCTCAAAAAATTTGCCAACATCTGAAGAAACCATCAGCTCCATTGGCCATCGCAGCATAATTCAAGCAGATGGTAATGCAAACCTGTTCGTAAGTAGGACACCAAGAACAGAGAAATATAAGGAAGGGCAGGGGAGGACATATTATTATTATTATTAAAAAATACAAGCAGAAATATCCCATCCAAATGTACTACCTCTGGTACTGCCATAATGGCTGCCGTACATGTTGTACATGTCGTCATAGACTTTCATGCCGGCACCATCCGCCTCTTGTAAGAATGGGGAACCTAAGGAAGGGAGAAACATGGGAACGTGTTCATGGTGCTAGAATATAAGAGAATGGCTGATAATTCTTCCATTTGTGTACAAATCCTCATAAAATACGATAAATTGTCATAAAAATGAAATATTTTACGTTATAACAACATATCTGCACCCAGCATTGCTAATATCTGTCAGTACAGAGTATTAGAATATTTAAATGAACAACCAACCAGGAAACCATCAGACCACTGTCATGGGTGAAACACCACTGATGGCTGATAAGTCAGAGAAGTAATTCACCTTTTTATTTTAATTCAGCCTAACATAAAAAGAAATGCATATTTACTGGATTTCAAAGGCAGTAACAAATACCTAAAATTGCAACATTTACTCACACCCACACACACTTCTCTCTCACCCTGTCTGTGTGTTTGTCCGTCTGTCTGTTTGACTGTCTGTTAGTCTGCCTAACTGATTGCTTCTATCTGTCAATCTTTCATGAGTAAGCAACATTTTACTTGGAGATGAAACAAAATTTGAGACTCACCAGAGTACTTAACATATAGTGGCCTACTGCAGACGAACAAGCAGATCAAACACAGTGCTGATAAAAGGCAAATGTCCACAACATACACTTGCATAAATGGGAATAAACCAAAATACCTATCCTTTACTCTTTAATTCCCAGGGTTTGAACACTTCATACAAAATATAACAATAATTTCAAAACTTTCTTTTCCACACAAAAAAGAGAAAATCATAAAAATATGTGTGAAACAACCTTTTTTAGAAGTTGATAGCTACATTCCCCAAAATGACTCAACTGAAGCACACACAAACAATGATGGAGCCATTAACCGAACCACCAAAAGCTGCCAAAATATCTTTCAACCTTCCCCATCAATTATATCCCCACTCTCTGCTTCCAGCATATAGTTAAAATAAATTAAACTGACACAACACTCCCCACTGTGTGTGAATTGGTCCACCATGATTCCACAGCCACAACCCCACAATATATACTACAAGTACAAGTACCTGTTATGGTGGTGTAGAAGTGAAGCTGGTTATCATATTCATTACTGATGTCATAACCTACAGCAAACAAATCAACATTTCACTCTACACAGCATCAACACCCATGTAAATAAAATATAAACCTAATTCAGATACTAAATGTATAAGTTACTTAATTTTAACATGCAGCAATCCGTTTTATGACAAAGCAATACTTATATGTTGGTTTCAAAAATATGATCCCTATACATCTGGGAATTGTGATAAAGGTTGTGAGTGAAAAAGATAAAACAAACTGTTTAATCTTTCAGCATATTGCTGACAGGCACAATGCCTGCATACCGAGTGGTATGGGTGTGGCAGTTGGTTTGAAGTGGAAAAGCATGAAATGTGGGAAATCACTGTGTTACAATGTATCAATATGTACAATGAGAGAGGGGAATGGCCTCCAATATATAGAGATAAATGTAAGCCCCACCTCGTCTTCTCCTCAATCTCCTGCTGGCCAGTGAGGAGCTGTAGGTGTCACAGAGGAGACAGCAGGCCAGGTTGCGGAACAGTCCCCCTGTCCTGACTGAGATATGGGATGGGTCCATCTGCTGCTGGTAACGACTACGAATGGAGTCATTAGACTGTGTTAAGTCCCCTTGTTTCACATAGTTTATAACCTGCTGTTCAAACTGCCCTATCTCTTGGAACAAGCTCTCTGTGTCGCCATCAGAACTGTGTTCCACAGGGTCATTAAGAAACATGCAGTGGGCGCTGTGGATGCTTTCATTGCCTCCAATGGTACGCATGGAACTTCGGTTCATGCTGCAACGATACTGAGGCTTAACCATCTCCCTACAGCTTCGTCCACTGGAACGTGCACGGGAACGGATTTCCCTCTTGAATGGCGTGTCCAGATACGTCTCATCATTCTTTACACTGAGCTTTGCCCCCTCAAACAACGGTGTCCCTGATGAATCACTGTCCTCAAGAGTGCGACGCATTTCTAAGCGCTTCAGTTTGGCTTTATTTTTAGCACGTGCCTTTTTACCTGGGAGGGCAGTCCACGTATTATATAAGCTAGGCTTCTCTTGCAGCATCTGTTTATGAGGTTGGTTAAGAGGACCTATATCGGAGTCTTGTCTGTTAATATACTCCATGGAAATGGCACTCTTCTGAAGCTTTCGTTCTCCACCGGAAGGATCATAATCTACATTGGGGAGAGCAAAGTTGGCTTCATTCTCCTGATCTACTAGATTGTCACAGCTTAAGGAACGATCACGCTTAAAATCAAATTTCTTCCCTTTTTTCTTGCTGAGAGATTCCAGTGACTTCCCAACCCTGTTCTGTTCCAGTTTCTGCTGTAGCTGGTTCATGAAGCTATTCATGTGGTGATAGTTCTTATGGAAAGAGGTGGGAGATGGCACAGTGCAGTGGCCTGGACTTGCACGACTGAAAGGACCATGGTGCGACTGCTGACCTGCAATGAAGCTGTTTTCAGTGCCATCTAATGGTATTCTCTCCCCAGAGTGAGTGACCAAAAGATTCTGTAATGCGTTTCGGTCTGACATAGACTTTTGCTTAGATGTGTTTGGTAATGGATAAGTCATGTAACCTTCTGGGAATTCTACCTCAGAATTGGATGTAGTGGATTCTGTCTCCGTAAGTACCTTTGTAGTTTTGTCATCTTCTTTGCTTCCACCTTTATGCATGTGCCTTAACTGTTCCTGAAGTTCCTGTACCAGCAGCCCCTGAGCGGAGGCAGACTGAGCCTTGGCAGACTGAGTGGAACTGGAACTGAGTGATAATGATGAGGAATTGTCCTTAGAATCTTGGAGTATTTGTGAATCAACATGATCTTCATGTGGTGGCTGTGATGGAGCAAGCAGTCCCTGCGATGGTTGCCATTGTGGACTTTGTTGCAGGTTTTCAGAGCCAGTTTCCTGACTGTTCCCCTGCCTCCCTGGAGGGGGTGGATGTAGTTGGGGGGTCACTGTAGGGGTTGTGTGGTCCTCAGCAGGATGATGCAGCATTACCTTGTTGTGATCTTGCTGCATTGGAAGCAATGGCACATAGATGGAAGGTTTAAAGCTTGGACTCTTCAGTTCCCCAGTGTGCCCTGCCTGCTGAGCCTGGTGTTCCAGAGCCTGGTGTCCCTCCAGTGTGGACATCCCCTCTAGGTGTGGGGCAGACTTCAGACAAAGGTCAATTTTCCTGCGGATCTCGTCCTTGAATGACACTGGTGGCAGTGGCACTGTTTTAGGTGTCAGGACAGGTGAGGCTTCACAGGGGGTGACAGACGTCAGAGACTCCTCATCAGGGCGTAAATGAAGCTTGGTCCTGGTCTCACTTATTTTGGAACCCTCGGAATCAGACACCACAGGAAGCAAGCTGTTAGAAGCTGTTCTAGCCTCCTTGAGGTTTGGGAGCTCTGTGATGGTGGAATTGGAACTCAGTTCAGATGAAACTTCGCTGGATATGCTTCCAGTTTCTACATTATTTTTCCACACATCCCCTGTTGTCTCCCGAGACAGGCTTGAGTCAAGGTCTGCCACCTGGAGTCTCACAGAGTCTACCAGCTGGGACAGTAATGTCCCAGAATGTGGACTGGGTGGCCTGTCTTGAATAGTTTTCAGATTCCTCACTTCACCACCGTTAACTACATGCATAGAAGGTTTTTCGGTACCATTTTGATATTTATGATATGATTTCTCTGCTTCAGGCACAGAATTTCTTATCCCATATGAAGAATTGGCAGCCTCATTATGGATTCCACCATTTGCTGAACCATTCTTGACTTTGGGTGTAAAATCTGCCTTTTTACGATAAGCTGGACCCACCTGTGCTGGTGTTTTTGGCAGGAATCCAATTTTGTTTTCAATAGCCTTCTGCAGCTGCTGCACAGACTTTTGACCTTTGAGAACACAATCGGTGTTTTCTGTTTGATTAGAATTTTTCTCATTATTACCCTTTTTGTCTATATCACCAATGTCATAAATTACAATTTTAGGTGGTTCTTTATTGAAGTTTTCAATTTTACTCCTCAGGCCACCATTACCAGGAGATGAGGGTATTTTAGAGCAGTGATAATGAATACTCATCTTCTCTGTGGATTTTGCTTTAGTCTCTGGTGAAGTATGGGGAGTGCTATAAACCACCTCTGCCCCGCCTATGAATGTCAGTGTTTTCCCTGACTTCACCTTCTCCAAGTCCTCCAGTTTGTTGTAAATATCTCGTGAGTGTTCCTGCCTATGCTTCAGCACACTGTTCAGCTCCTCAAACAAGCCACCCCCCTCTTTTTGCCACAGAGTGCTGGGGGTCATGTATCCTTTGGTCTTAGCTTCAGTGCGTGGCACGGTGTTAGAATGTTTGATATCAAGGTTCTGAAACTCCACATCACTGTCATTAGAACTTCCAATTTGACAGAGATGAATCACGGATTTGGCTGGAGACAGAATCCTAGTGTTATAATGGCTGGAAGAATTATCTGCTGCTTTGCTGTCATTGGATGTGTGACTACCATTTTTATACGACTGGTAAATAGTTTTGGAAGTTGGACGTTTTTGGTATATAGGCCTATGTGCACTTAATATCCGTTCTGCATTTTGAACAGCATCTTTGACTTTCAATACAGAGCTACATGCATCTACACTATTTTCACTGGTCTTTTCTTTACTTTTCCCTTCATCCTCTCCATTGCATTCCTTTCCATCAGAATCTCTTTCAAATTTATTGTCATTCTCCGTCTCTTGGTCTGTCTTGTGTTTGAGTGCCGCCTTCAGTTCATTCAAGAAGCTACATTGTTCAGTGGCACTTAAAGAACTCATTATCCGTCACTCACTTGGAGTTTACCTTAATCTATGGCAGCCAAGCAGTACAGTCAACTGTGTTCAATTCTACCAAAATCAGCGTATCACTGAGAATCTGAATACTTTTCATTTCCTGACGTAAGTTTTTAGAAAATGTACGTCTTGTCCAAGGTAAGCATAAGACAAGGATTATGATGTCTTGTTCCAAGCCTGTCACACACTGCCAAATAATCCCCACATAACTGAGTTACTAGTTCAGGTTTTTGGCCATCAACCTCACTATACACAGACATAGAGTGAATCAAGTTCCAGTGAGAGTCCCGTGCGCTTGAAATGACTACATTTACAAATGTCACATCTGTAATACTATATTAGATTCTCTTAATGTATTATGACACATTCATATATGTCTTATATAAGAGACTTGGCTTCCAACAAGCTGCTTGCTATTTGTGTAGTATTATATGAAATATGAAGTATAATCCTTGCTCAATATACCAGCAGAAATCCTTACAAGCATCAAGTATGTCAATACAGAAGACAATCAGTGTCATATGTGCTGTTGGAGATCATAGCTGTGACAGGTGACCAAATGGCTAAGACACTTCCATATCTCTTGTCATGGCGTACCACTTCTATATCTAAACAATAACATATCTGATAGAAAATGAGATAATTTTCTATCATAGCTCAGAGTCCTAGGAAAAATCTTAGCTATTTTTCTCCAGCTACATTCTGTGCATATCTGTGCTGGGAGGGGTAGGTTGAGCTCTAGCTACACCACATGTGCTGCAATGAACACTGTGACACAGAGGCTGTGCCGGCCACAGATGGTGCCGTTGCCATGACAACAGTCTGTGCTTAAAGTCTGTGATGTCCAGCAATAAAGAAATAATTATCATATTAAACTTGACTGTTCACAGCATTCTTGATCAAAATTGTAACTCAGCCTTTAACTGCAGGGGCAGAAATTAGTGTACTTTAAATCTGTGCTGCTTAATGCTATAACACAGAATATGATACAAACTCTTTCTCACCCTCATGCTCAATAATTAAAAATCATTACAATATTCATGTGACCTAGATATATCAAGTTTCATAGCGTCAACATAAACGCTTGATATTATGTTAACAAGGGGCATAGCTGTCGTACTAAGTATTTTTGTTATCCAATTACGGCAGTTATAATTATGATAATTACACTGTTAAATTACTGTATTTTACAAAACTTACCAAAGGGTGTCATGTTGGGTGACACAGTAACAGAAATTTGAGTAGTCAGTTGGTGACAATTAACAAGGATGATTTACAATTTATTTTGTGAAAGTGAAGCAATAATTGAGAACTTGTTGAATTCATGCCCAGTATAATCATTAAATAATCTACTTATAGCCTGCTAATTGCTAACAAGCACTTTTAAAGGCACACAATATCAATATTAATGTTTTTGTTTATAGTAATTAGTAGAGAGCTTATTAAGCTCATATAGTTAACTTATATGATGCAATATTTTAATTTCAAAACAAAGGAGATTTAAATAAATGTACAGTATAATTTTGATGGTAAATAGAAAAATGCAACAAGAGATTTCATAGCTGATACTAGTTTAGTAAATGAGGAAATTGAGCTAATTTTCAATATAAAAATCTTGTTCCTGCTTCACTTCACACACAAACTTTAAGGACCAACATACTAATGTTTATTATATAAAAAAGTAACTAATTTGCAAACAAATGATTTTTCTTAGGATAATGTTGCCCTAAGTTAAAAAGAGAGAGAATGGCCACAGTTCTGCACTTTGTCTAGCTTTGCCCTACAAGTTGCATATTGAAAAAACACCAGACTTCAAGCTGTTAAGATGCCAGAATTGTGAAAATTTTATGGCTTAAAGTTGTATTGGCTGCAATTAATGTAAAATGCACTGATTGACCCAAAAATGGCTGCCAGTCTAAATAAGCATGTTTTGGCCCATTTGTAGTACATGATATATATAAGCAGTGTCAACTTTCATGACACAGTAGAGTATGTACATTTCTCAAAAGGGAAGAGGTGGGGTGGGGGCATTAATTCCTTAATTGGTACCTGTTCTGTATTTAATCTTATAGATTAAAAATTCTCCATTTGTACTATACCAAAGCATATCTATCATCTAAGTAGACAGGAACTGCCAGCTTGTCTTTCCAGACTTGTGGCACCACCTCACCAGCTGCAGTTTTAAAATATCAGATATTAAGGGTGACTTCCTGAAGTATTTTTTTCTTATGTAACATACTGTGGTTGTGTAACTTATTAATGCTTTTTTAAAAAAATAAGTCACGAAAAGCTTGAGGACTATCATCATGATGTTTTCAACTTCCACATCTCCATATTGTTAAACAAATTGTTATAAACTGAGTTTTTAGCTAAGTTTTACTAAGGTTACAGACACAGATGTGATTCTTCCTTTCTTGGCAAAATACATCAGGAGTGTGAAGAGGCAAATTGTATCACAAAGACACCTATAGAATGACCAAACCTTTATCCACAGAGGAAACTTCTAAAGCTATTACCAGGCTTGAGATGCCTAATTACACTGAATATATTATTTTACGACTTGGTGTGACAATTATCATCCCATAATGTCAAAATAATAAACAAATAATATGCCAAAAGGCTAAAACCAAAATCTTTTCCCTGGAATATCATCCAAGAGGCAACATGCTTTTTTTAAATTGTTCAGACAAGCCAATTATCATGTCAGATGTTCTATTTCAAATCCATCATATATTAAAGTGACAGTCACTGTAGCAGATGTGACATTAATGACCGTGCGGATGTACTGGGAGCCAGTGAACACTGTCCAGTCACATGATGACAGTAGAACCATGCCAGAGATGTGGGAGACATAATTTATATATAGCTGAGGTGTTCCAGAATATTCAGCTCCACATGTATTGTAAATCAACAGCAAATACTAAATCCAACAAATACTTCCTCTACCATTAGCAACATTTAACACAAAAGTGAACTGGATAAAATTGCAGGAATTGACAGATTAGACAATGATAAAGATACTAGGATATAAAACATTTTTTGCACAATATCCAGTTTCCTGAAATTTTAAATATATGATATGGATATATTATGTTGCTGTATGTTTGCTGAAACAAAGCTGAAAAAAAAAAAAAAAAAACTGATGAAGGCATGGCTGTGAACACGATTCATAATCCTGACATGCTATTTAATCTCTTGACATGGATCCCACAGTAAGTGACAGCTGAGGGCGTGTTCTCATTGAAACTATCATTCTACATAGATCTATCCAACTTTTGTGTGTGCTTGGTTTTTGAAAGATTTTTCAATTTTTTTTAGTGGGACCAAACACACTCAAAAGTTAATCAACTTCTAGCTGCTTGAGGAGGCATGTTATTCAGTGAATCTAACTGCATTCAGCGAGTGTCCCTGCAAAGTTGGATCGAACTATATAGGACAATAGTTTCGTTTGGAAATGCCACATGTCAACAGAACTTCTCCATATGACACTTACATGGCTGTTCACATTAGCCTTGTCATTATGTGAAAATATATATCAAAATCATTTGGTAACACATTTCATCCCACTGGGCTCAGGATTATGGAATCCGTTGACCATTTCAGTTGCTTAAGATATAAAACAGGAACCAAAACGAGCATTTACAAAATCACATATGGAAAATATTTGGATGTGACTGAACATAACAGCCTTAACATTATCCTTATCAAAACTAACAGCCCAAAATGGCTTCCAGAGGTATCTGGTAGTTTACCTGAGATCTCCTGTCCCCCATAGAAGACGTGGATCCGGTAGGTGCCAAACTCAGTGGGGACGTAGTTGACCTTAGTGCCCTCTGGTGTGTTGTGGGTGGTGAATGGGATGTTCTGACCACTGGGTCCTATCAACTTGATGGTCACTTCTGCCTTACCAGCATCCTCCCACTTGACTGAAACCAGACACATTTACAGTGAATACACAAAAGTAGTCTTAAATCAGGCTACTTTTAATTAGCTCATATCTTGGAGCAGACAATGCTTATAATGAAAAGAAAAATGAAGTCATCCAACATGAGAAACATGTTCACTTTACATGGGTTCAATTTCATACAAATTCCATAACTGATTCCTTTTCAAAAACAAAAACAAGGAAAAAAGAGTAGACAAAACTGTGGTATATACAATATTCTTCAATTCACCAGATATGCCCTTAGTAAATTTCAGGCCTGCTTCAAATTCACAGCAAATTTGCAGCAATATTGCTGCAGACTGCAATTCCTTCTTGAAAATTTGCTGCAATATGGCTGCAAATTAGCAGCAATAAAATTTTTCTTGCAAGCTCCTGCAAACTATACTTTTTCGGAAAATTATACTTCAATTATAAACCAATAAATGAATTGCTTACTGTTTATTCCTGTCTCTTTCTGCACAAATGCCTCCTCCTCCAGCCTTTCCACCCTCACTCTGTCTGGGTCATAGATGTCCACATAGAATGGACTGCCCTTGATGGGTTGACCACAGAAGAATATCTCCACTATGTGACGACCTGCAAATTGAAACAAATGATATAACATATAAAATATCATAATAAAATTATCAAATTGAAGAAAAAGTTGGATAATGGTGCAAAAAGTTGATGTTATCTTTGTTTGATGTAAATCATGATGGATATGATTATAAATAAAAAACATTTCTGTGACTATTACAAGAAGGTGAAGATTAGGGAGACTGTCTATAACAATACAGTTGTACTGATAGGTTATCTGCCATTGTGAAGGGTCATACATTTTTATAATCATTTTCAGAAGTCTACAAACTGTACTCTAGGGGAGGGGTTAATGCCCTCTGCACAAATATGATGATACAAATTGCTGTCAAAGGTCATCATTTTTAACTTGAAGAGGGGAGGGGTCAGAAAAAGTCTACTATTTGTAGCTTGTAAAAATAATAATAAAAATGGATCACCCCTTATTGATCTTCACTTTACATTTTAAGTCAAAAACTGTTATCACAACATAATTCTCCACTTACCTGTGTATGGAGAGGAATACTCCGCTCTGAAGTCTCCCTCTGGAGTCTGGACAATCTTGGCTGGGACCTGGTTTCCATTGGGAGCTGAGATCAAAAAGAGACTGGATTATTTCTATGGCTCTTACTTAGCTTTAGCCCTAGTTTAGCCAAGCTTGGGATACAATTATAACTATTAGGACATCTTACTTTGGGGTATAATATATCTAGCATTAACATTTAAGCTGCTGACAAAATTTAACAAATGACTTATCAAACATATTTATGATTTAAGATAAAAAGGAGTTAAAAGTGTGGAAAAATCAAGCTGAAACAAAAAACATGAAAATGGAGTATGGGCATCAACAAAAAATAATGAAAATTTGAGGGTAAAGCATGGCATTCTCTTGGTTGAAATAATAAACAACTACTGGTGAAAGTATCAAAGTGGGTTGACTAATCAACTTGAACATTATTGTGCAGAGGTTGGAGAGTGCTGGTCTACTCATGCTTTCTACTCACAACTGTACTCTACTGTCAACTCATCTCACATATATCTCACAAATATCTCACACATATCTCAAATATCTCACTTCCACACTACATATACTCCAATAAATTATGTCCCATTTCAAATGGTAAACCATGCCTTGCCAACTGCTTCTACTAGCTAGTACAGTGGCCAGACAACCAGATAATATGAACCCTATCACTGTTCATATTGTAACTGATGGTGGAAAGTATAAGTATAAAACAGTAAATTTTGCTCAAATTCTCTGCTGAAAAAGAACAGTTACTGTTATTTCATTGCCAATCTCAATGTAACATATCATCATCATCAACCAATATATATATATGCCATTATGCAATATAAAGAATACAAAAAAAAAAAAAAAAAAAAAAAAAAAAAAAAGAATTTAACTTATATAAGGGGATAAAATATAAACTATATCCATTCACAAGAACACTGCTTTAAACTTATTTCTTTTACTGTTGAAGACAATAATTAAATAATAATGTAGTATATAGCTGGGTAATAGGTACAGGAGAACAGTATACTGTGATATCAGCAAGCAAATATAACAATTTCTTTTATATTGCACATCACCACGTAAGTAGACCTAGTTAATGCTTTTTAATATGCTATCCACCTTGTACAATACATGTCATATCCCTCAGGTTGTACTGTGTGCCCTGGGGCTGGATCATGAAGTAAGACGTCCTTCTTGTTGTTGTCTCGCGCATGCCACCATCACGCATGTCACGCATACTGCTCTCCCGAGGTAGGCTCGTTCTCAACATGTCAACCTCCGTGCGTGGTACGACTTCCTGGGTGAAGACTTTGAAGGGACAGCCTGAAATAACAGTGACATCTACTGGTGATGGAAAGAACTTGTATATGTTAACATATAATTCAGGCTCATAGCCAGCATTTTCTTTTTTTCTCAAAAAGTGGACCTTTTACTATGAAAAGTATGTGTACCAAGATCAAATTCTACCCAGAGCCAACCTTTTCCCAGCAAATAGGGGCTAGGTTTGTTCATACCCCTGAAACCCCCTTGCTATAGGCTTGCCATTACTGACATATAGGTACATATGTAATCCTGTAGAGACAAAAAAAACTGTATAAATACCTAACTGATAATGAAATGCATTTGCTTTATATGTATAAAACATATAGCCTCCAATCTCATAATAAAGATTACAGATCACATATAAAAACATGAGATTCAACTGCAAATATATATTCCCTCGTATATCAGTCGGCGAATAGCTGTAAAGATAATGTTTCCTTTCAATTTATACCCGACATGAAATAAAATTTATTGTATTGTATTGTATTCCCTAAGTAAAGCACTTAATGCATAACTTCACTTACGTATCAATTTTACAACTGCAAAATCAAAAAATCCTAGCACTTTACCACACAGCGGTCATATGCTCCTTGGACACTGACTCTGTCTTAAATGACTTGGAGATTCATAAAGGCCACATATGATACAACCATCATTGGTGATCTATAGCTATTTCATATGATAGCACTGGTGGTCCTGTGATTGAGTCATTGTTTCTGGTTCTTTGTTATGCATAATGTAACTAACACGGCAAATATATAGACTGCAGTTTTCATACTATGTCTTAGATAACAGTTGACATACTTTTGTCACATTGAGAACACTGAATGTATTAAATATCTTGTCCATAATAATAATAATAATAATAATAATACCACCGAAGTGAGTTAAATATCATTTGAAGAATGGACACATTTGTCCATGAAACTATTGATGCTTTTCTTAAACCTTAAAATAAGAAAAGATTTCATATTTTTTCAACTGAGCACAATTATTTCAAGATCAATTATATCTTGTTTGCTGCTATTGTTACTAACCTGGTATTTTCTCATAATTAAAGGTAACTTCAACTTGATGGTCGCCTGGCTCCTCTGGCATGTATGTGAAACGATGCAGGGTGTTGGACAGCCTCTCACGATTTAGGCGAACTAAACGGCCACTAGGTGCTGTCACTTGTGCATCTATTGTGCCCTGACCGGCCAGAGAGGAGTCAACTAAAATAATAATAATATGAAGAAGAATAAGATGAATATTCATAAAATGTTCAGTATACTTTACATCATATTATAATTATATCGAATTTTAAGGTTTATACATAAAGATGATTTAAATATATACAGTAAAAGTTATCTAAGTTTTTGCTATGTAATGTAAAAAACTGAACAAAAATCATAAATAAATCATCTTAAAAATGCATGCTTTCAGCTTCTTCTTTAATGATACCTGTGATTCTATTTGTCTTAGGTGAATAGCAATTAATGTTTATTAATCTTAAATATGATGCACAGAAGTTACATGGGATTTTATTAAATTTGACACAATGGTGTCTTTCTACAAAAAATTCTAAAATGTAAAGCAGCCTATTTCCTCACCAGTAAATCCCAGCTGCTGGTTAACCCTGCCGCTGTAATCTGTATCTGTGACACGCACTCTACTGGCATCGTATGCCTCGCAAGCAAACGGGCTCCCAACAATAGAGGCAGTGCCATATTTAATCTCCACCAGGTGTCTCCCAGGCTCTATTGGGGTGTATTCTCCAATGAACTGGTTGACAGTGCCAGGTTTGGGGGTGACTCTGCAGGGCACTGTGGCACCAGATGGCGCTACAAGGAGTTACATAATTACATTACAAATAGAGGACTTTTCTAAGCAACAGCTGCCATTCATCTTAGAGACCAAACTTGTGAAAATTATTCTGTTGGAAACAAGCACTGTTTGCTATCTATCAAATTGAATCTATTAGATAATTTTCAGAAAATATAAGGTGCCACATCTTTCTATCCTGCCAAAATAAAAAATGTAAAAAAAAGCTGGAATTATTATAGAAATTATATACATAAAGAAATAAGACTTACCTGTAATTTTGACCCCAATGGGTGCCTCTGCTGGCCCGTGTGTGTCCACTTCAAACCAGGCCACATGCTGGACCGGGGCCAGTCTCAGGCCATCACCACTAGCTGTCACATGACTGGCGTCTATGATGTCCACCATCCACGGTGAGTCTGGAGACAGAGTGGTCCAAAATAATACTTACTGTCATATTTATACAAAGCATTAAATGAATATCTCCAATATCTGTCTATAAAATGACCAAATTTCTTAAGTGAAACATCAAGTTTAAAATTTCTTATTAAAGTAAAATAAGTTAAACTATGCTCATTAAGAATTTGTGTCCATGTTGGAGAAGAACTGATTTTGGTCCATGTTGAGACTGCTTTGAGGAGACTACCTCAACTGAGATACGGCTCTATCCCTACACAAGCTCTCTACAAAGTTCAACCTGCTGTTTAGATGCAGTTAATCAATTGCCAATGTCTCGTGCAGCGGCACTGCTAAGGTGGTATTCCCTTATGTAATAACCATGTTATGAAGTTGTCACCCTCTTTAAAACATACCTATACACCTGTGATCCTAAGACATAAACACTGAACATGAAAAGGCAATAAAAATGACTTACTTCTGGCATGTTCCTCGTTAAAGAACAGGTTGACAACATGTGTGTTCATATCGCGTGGCACAAAAGAGAGGTCATACATCCCGTTGCCCTTTGGCTTGATCTCACTGGGAACCTGTACATTTCTGGACCTGACATCTGCCTCTAGGGATCCCTCACCTGCCTGGGACGCATCCACTGGGAAGACAAGATTTTATATTCCAGTGCTACCAGTATAAACACATTATGTTCAGAAAATTAATACAGATAAATCTAAACATGGGTCAACTTTGCCACATGTACAACCTAAGCAAATAAATCTGACAAATACTTACTACATTTCGTCAAACATTCCACATGAATTACATATAATTTAGTAAACAGCATGTATAGCATACTTTTAGCAAGGCAAACTCCTTCAATTCATCTTGGTTTTGTGATGACAAGTTATACCTTCAATATCAGGGGCGGATCCAGAGATATTTTCTGACAGTCTTTCAAATTATCTTTGTTGATCCATCTTCCATTTTTGACCGTCTTCCGACAGAAAACATTAGATGGCTGACAATGTAAACTTGAAAATCTGACCGTCTTCCAGAAGACCCAGAAGACGGCCTAAATCCGCCCCTGAATATGTACTGGTGTGCTTTACAGTATAGACAATTTACCTTCCATATGTACTGGTATGCTTTACAGTATAGACAATTTACCTTCCATATGTACTGGTATGCTTTACAGTATAGACAATTTACCTTCCATATGTACTGGTATGCTTTACAGTATAGACAATTTACCTTCCATATGTACTGGTGTGTCTATCAGCCCGTTCCTGACTTGTTCCAGTATTACCTTGCCGGCATCATAGGCATCACAGAAGAAAGGGCTGCCTTTCACCTCGGTGTCTGCATAGAAGATCTTGGTCTGGTGGCGACCTAGAGGTGTGAATATATAGGAGGTTTACTATGGAATCATACCTGACAGTATTAGACACAGTGTATTGAGGGTAGAAACCAAGGGTTTAATATTTATGTAATTATTGCATAACTGTAAATTTAAATCATTGCTTAACGTGTTTCCAAAGGCAATTTTAGGATTACCATTTACCAATTGTCTTGTCTCTTTATAGAGAAAAGACTATTTCATCTTATCTATTATGAAGGGGGCATAAGAAAGGACAAGTATAATCCACAAAACTTGATTAAAAAAAAAACACAAACTTCAAGTAAAATTCAAAGCTAATGCTTTTTCTCAGTGCTGCAATGTGTTGGAACAAGTTAAGTCATATCAAAGTTGCCTACCAACTTCAGTCGGGGTGAATTCTATTCTAAATCCTGTGTTGGGGCTGCCAGTGACACGAGCAGGGACAACTCTGCCACTAGGAGCTGAAACATGAACACAATACTCAGATGATCAAGAAATATAGCACAGTATTAGAACCAGTACCAATGAACAAATTGAAGTTTATCATTCCAAAAAGATCAGGGACATCACAATCTCTGAAGAAGATCGACATTTACAATTATGATCTAATAAGAGGCCTGTAGCCAGCTATTTGAAAAGGGGGATTCTTTTTCTTTAAAAGTGGACCTTTCACCATGAATCCTCCATGTACCAAGATTAAACTTTACCTAGAGGGGACCTTTGAACCCCCTGAACCCCCCTAGCTATGTACTAATAACGTTCAGCCATGTAAGAGAAGTCAGGTAACTGCGAGCTGAAATTGTATGATGTCCTATGGACTCACCAGTGATCTCCACAATGCAGTCAGCGTCTGTCCCGTGGGGGTCCACTACAAACCAGGTCATCTTATTGACCGGTACTCGGGACAGTCCATCCCCACTCACTGAACACTTGCTGCCGTCCACTATGGCACAGTGGAATGGACTGCCTGGAATCAGATGACCATTGGTTACAATGAGATGACCACTGGTTGATGATACATACACTAAGACTTAATTGCTAATATGTTTACCAAACACTAAAGCTATGGCAATGTCAGGCAAGTAATCAGTTAGACCCCCCTCGCTGCAAAATCAAGGATGCAAGAAATATGCAGAATGTTCTTCTTAGGAAGAGGATTGAAGAAAGAACACAATAACTTAACTAATGATAAATAAATGAGTACATAAAAAATAAAATAGGACAAATAAATACATAAAAAATAATTTTAAAATAAACAATATTAAAGAAGAAATAATTTAAAATAAAAACTAGTAAAATGCAATTTATGTTAAGCTAAACTGAGATGCCACTTAAAGGATACAGAATAATTGCTGACATTAATGAGCCAATTTCTAACAAAAGTTTTTTATGTAGTGAAAATCATGACACTCCCACCACCAACATAGTTTTAACCTGTCAGCTTGTTGTTATGTTGCCAAGGCAACCATGCTTTTGTCAGTTGCTCCTAAAAGTACAAAAATGTGAGTTAAAATAAAATTATAAAGATGGAGCTCAACATGATTATCAATAATTACATTATCTTTTAAGAAAGTAAATTAATGTTTTATTATATTAAAAAGCTGAAAAAATGAAACATGTTAGGTAATAAAAAGAAATTTTGACTTCTAGGTTAATTACCATAATTATGCAAAGATCTATGAATTGAGGAAGTAATACTTAGTCAACAATTAAAAAGTGAATGCTATATCTTATTTTAGGAACATTGCTCTGTAACATAATACTGCCTGGTAATTTCAACATCTTCATTAAACCTGACCCCAGCATCATAACTATACACCCTGAGAGGCAGGGTGAAGAACTTCTACCTTCTTATTAAACCTGACCAAAACATCATGTTGATACACCCTGAGAGGCAGGGTAAAAAAAAAACTATCATCTAGGGAGGCAGGGTGAAGAACCCATACCTTCTACTTCCTCCTCATTAAATCTGACCCCAACATCATATCTATACACCCTGGGAGGCGGGGTGAAGAACCCCTACCTTCTACCTCTTCCTCATTAAACCTGACCCCAACATCATTTCTATACACCCTGGGAGGCAGGGTGAAGAACCCATACCTTCTACCTCTTCCTCATTAAACCTGACCCCAACATCGTATCTATACACCCTGGGAGGCGGGGTGAAGAACACTTTGAACAGAGACTTGTTGTCTGGCTCTTGCTCAATAAAGTTAGGAATTCTCGATCCGTCTTGATGACTGAACACCTCGATCTCCAGGTTACCAGCTCCAGCCTCTAGAGCATCAACTGAAATGATGAAAAACATAAGAGTTCATAGTTAAAAATTGATTTTAACAGATAAACATAAACCTTGATCTACTATTCAAACATGGGTTGTAAAACTTAGACTAAAGGTACATCTATGCAGCAAAGAGTTACATTTTTGAATTGGTAGGTTATGAATAATAAATATAAATCTTGACAAAATTCTCCTGTAAATTCACCATGATTATCTTACCATAAAAGACAACATCTCCATATCTGTTCGGCTCATTGGTGGGGTCTCGGAGGATTTTCACCTTACTCATGTCATACACATAGCACTTGAAGGGGTTCCCTGCAATGGGTTTGCCAGCATATTTGATATCTATCATGTAGATACCTGCAAGATACCAATCACAATTTAGTACAAACATTTTTTCATAAAAGATCAGAACTGGGTTGTCAAATACCTACACACTCAACATATGATGCTAATCCAGTCCCACCTTCAATAATTGCCATATGGCTAAAAATGGGTTGTTGCCAAATCTTAAATTTTTGCACAGTACCATTCCCATGAATTTTCAGATGACTCCCTCTCGCCAATTACAATTACTGAACAAAGCAAAAAGGTATTTTATTTTCCTCTTTGGATTATAAAAATTACTTAAAACTTATAGTTTTTATTAAACTCACCAACTTCTGCAGGCAAGAATTCCACATTGAACCCTGCAGTATGGCTTCCCGTGATGTGATAGGGGACATTCCTCTTAGTGGGGGCTGGAAAAAAAAACTTTCATTTATTTTGCTTATACAAAAACAATTAAATCATAAACTTAGATAAAGATTTATTTTAATGTATACTTTTATCACATTTAAACATATGCCAAATTATTTACTTAGTCTGCACCAAAGAAAGATATGGTCTGAAATTATTTATACAAGTATAGGCACATTTATTTCTTTACCTTTTATAATGATGTAAAATATAATATCTACTCAGATGATCTACAAATATTTCAATTCACTTACAGGTAATGGTTACATCAAGTTCGGCTAAGAACCCTGCCAATTTTGTGTCTACTGTGAAGGAAGTGGCCTCCATGTAGACCCCCTTCTCCAGCCCCACCCCCTTGGCCAGACACATGGCGCTGTCAATGACATCACACCTGAATGGCGAGCCTGGCACCGCCTCTCCACTGAATGACAGGTGAATGCTGTGCCTAGCAACACTGCTGGGGGTAAAGGTGCCCTTGAAGTGACCATGTCCAAGGTTGATCAGTTTACTATGGACAATGCCATCGCCACACTTGACCAGGGCGTTCAGGTCCCCCATGCCAGCCTGGCTTATGTCAACTGAAAGGAACGAAAATTAGAGGATCAGAGCAGCGATATCACCACCAGGGTTTGTACCACCAACGAAAGATAACTCGTTTAAATAAACTTCTGGTCAGATCAGTTACAGGTTGATTTGGGCAAAGATTGACAACAGTCATGGGGAATGGAGAACATTTACCGAGTAGTGGAGAATTGCAACTGCAGAACGACTGGCTAACTTTCAACTTCACTTAACAAACATTGCTCACTGTCTAATACACACCAAAAAAAAAAGGATAAATAATTTATGTATCTCTTTCTTTAGGGTGTATAGTCACCAAACATTTTAGGGTATATATATCACCATTTCTGCATTCTGTTACAGGGGAAATGTCTTAACCCATGTTGAGTATCCATTAAAATGATGTCTCACTGGTGACTATGTCTTCCTTTCACTGATGTTTTTCAAAGACAAACATACTATCTATCCTTGTACACAGAAAATCTGTCCCTCACTTACCATAGAACTCCACAGTCTTCCCAATGACCCCTGTGTTGATCTGGGTGACCTTGATCAGGCGAAGGTCATACACTTCACAGGAAAAAGGGCTGCCTGGGATCTCAAAGTCAGCATAGGACACACTGATAAAATGGCAACCTGGAAAAATAAAAGCAACTGTTGAACAAATGTGGAGTTAAACAATTAATTTGACTTTATTATCTAAATCTTATCACAATAAATAAATAAATTTAAATCATTTACAATTTAAGTAAGTATCTAACAAAAACTTTGAAACGTAGTACATTATTCTTTGAGTAAATAGAGCCTACATGTATCTGTTTATTAAATACATATGTGGTCATTTTCCTTCCACCTCTTCTTCACATTGAATGTATCGCAATCAAAATAAATGCTAATGTTTCTTCCAGTAATTTTGTACATAATGATTTTATGGCAAGAAATGTCTAACCATATCATAATATAAAAGCATAAACAAACTGATGACTTCCAGTATGAGAATCCTTGCTTCTTACCCACTTCCTTGGGCAGGAACTCTGCCCTGACGCGATTCTCTGCGATCCTTTTCACCGTCACAGGCAGGCACTTGTCTGTAGGGGCTGTAAACCACAGTTATACAAAATGCAGAGTTAGCATGAACTGAAATTCACTTCTACACTAATATGCATTTCCCTATAAATGTAAGAAGGATAAATCACTCAATTATAATACACTTCCTATTCTAATTTTTTTTCAAGCATGGACATGTATCTAATGCTCATAATAAGAGAAAAAAATAAAAACACTGGTATCAACTATTACAGTACAACTTTCAACTGGCTGAATGGAAATTTATTGATTTCTGTACTTGTATTATGGTAATTTATCATGTTGCCATATGCTAATTAAGTAAATCTGTTGCTGAGTCACTTACATATAATATCAAACCTGCAGTCCCCCGTCCCAGCACCTCCTGGGTCGACAGTGACGAAGGCAATCTTATCCACGGCCACACGCAGCAGAGCATCACCCATGAAGATCACACGGCCGGGGTCCGTGATCTCACACGTGAACGGGCTACCTGGTTACACACGCACACACACTTAACATGACAGGCAAGATAAAGCATGGCAAGCAGTTGACTCAGGCTTCACAAAGTGTGACATCATCTACATAATGTGACATCATTAACAATGTGCACAATAACATATATACAAGGTGACATCATGTACAATGTGACATCATATACACTGTGACATCATGTACACAATGTGACATCATATACACTGTGACATCATGAACACAATGTGACATCAAATAAAGATCATGATAGCTATAATATCACATTCACAATATAATGCAGGTACGTAAGCATCAGCCATAACAATGACGACATAGTAAAGAATAAGACAAGAAAAGATTAAGTATTACATCAATGAAGAAAGGAGGAAAGGATGACATATAGCACTGAACAAATAGTACACCAAGTGTTTATACCATACAGTAAGAGAGGGGGCCATCCCAAACAGTGACATTTCAGACACTTCATGGTGTGAGGTCACAAGTCAAGCACTGTGTAGGGATCACTAACTTAAACCTGTTTCAGTTTTGCTGTATAAATAGAATTAAAAGTAAATTTAATATTTCTTTAAAGATGAAATATTTATAGCAATGAAGACTTCAGATAAAAACCTTTAATATGCCCCAACAATAGCCACAGAAAGGAAAACAACAGACATTCTGAAAATGACAAGAAAAGCCCACATATCCCACCATTATAAGGTCCCATGCATCAACCCATCAACACCCAGACAGCTAGGACACATCCACAGACAAACTAATATATACACAAGCACACAGAAAACTACTCTTCTGAGCACAGAAAAGTTAACATGCAAGAGATCAATAAAAACATTTTTTTTTCAAAATATAATGATCCTGAAAATAAAGCAATTGTTAGTTAAAAATAACTGAAAAGCTGAAACACAATGGAATGATATATATTAATCCCCTCATTTTTTTTGCCAAACATTGCCATAGCTACAATTGGAAAAACATAAAAAATAAAACTCAACACCTTAAAATTCCTGTTACCTCCACTAATAAAAACAAGCAAATAATATGCTTCAACCATGTTCAAAAATAATCAACAAACCTCTCATTACATAGGCAAGAAAAAATAAAAAAATAAATATCAGTTGCAAAATCCTGAAAATCAACAGCCAATAAAAAAAAAACAGCTAAGTCATACCAACCAATCAAAAACTTTGTTTAATACTTCACCTGGCACTGGGTCTCCATTGAACTTCATGCTGACCACGTGTGTGTCTGACACCTGTGGGGTGAACGAGACGTTGAAGCGTGCCTGTCCTCCTTCCTGCTGCACAAAATTGGGAACATTTTCGTTGCGTGCAGAGACGATAATTTCCAGATTTCCTGCTCCAGCTCTGCTAGCATCAACTGCAAGGATAAGAACAAAGATGGACTGAGCTCATCATCATGTTACCTGTTTTATCTGTGTGTGTGTGTGTGTGTGTGTGTGTGTGTGTGTGTGTGTGTGTGTGTGTGTGTGTGTGTGTGTGTGTGTGTGTGTGTGTGTGTGCATGTGTGCAACAAAGGTTCTTTAAATGAATGCTGCACTTGACTACATTTGGTGGATTCACAGCACATTTTCTAACAGTATACAAAAGTACTTTAAGTAATGGGTCTAGAGGGAGTATATATAAGCCAAATTTCATGCTTTGTGTTTTCATAATAAAAATGAGCAAACATTGAATAAACCGATATTTAAACCTAAACTAATTGATAAAAATCTGTGAATCCAGAATGTATGGCAGAAAGCAAGGAACAATCCTCAATGCCTTTGACCCCATTCTCAGAGATTAGATCGATTCAACTAGATCGACCTAACTCCCTGGGGGTTCATGCTAAATAGCTATCAGCCGAGCAGGCACGAAAGTTAATTACCCCCTTACAGCTTGTAGTAGGTGGGAACGACATTTAAGCCGGATTATCTGACAGTAATCTAGTAAGACTCCCCACGGGGATAGATCGATCTAAAATCTATGGGAATGCATCCTTAGACTTATGTCTTCATATTGGTTCCACTGTGTATGAAATCTTTTTAGTAAACTTTGAGTGGATAAACCAGTAGTATCTTATGTACTAGATAGAAGTATACCACTCACTGTTGAAAGTGGTAGGTTTTCCCACTCTCCCTGGTCCAACATTCGATACCTGCACCTTGCTGGGGTCACAGGCTCTGGTGAGGAAAGGACTGCCAGGGATGTGAGTGCCTGAGTACAGGACATTGACCTGGTAATCACCTGAAAAAGACAAGTGACTGTCATATACTTGAGATTATTTACTTGAATCTGCAATTGTTTGGGACTCCAAACCTATAAAAAAGCATCTGAAGACTCAGAAGTAAATTAGAGGTCATAGAAAAAGGTCAAACATTGATGTAAGCTGATACAACTGCATTTTTCAGACTGTCCACAGGCTACTCACCAACCAATGAGGCGGTCCAGTCCACTCTGTATGTGGAATCCCCACTGTCCACTACATGTACTGGGACATCACGTCCATCTGGCCCTGCAGGGGTACGAAAAATAAAAATCTTTACTTTGACAGATAATCTAACTTGTGCTGCATTTTTCTGTATTTTAAAAAATTTAAACAAAACATTTTCTCAGTGCTCAATCATTTTTTAAATGAAACAATGCTTACTAATTGTAAAAGAATGCTTACTTTATTCCATTTAAACAAAAATGAACAAAACAATTTTTAAAAAATTCTAACAAGCAACTTATATCTTAAATAAAACATCTTATAGAAGTATCACACTGAAGACTGTATTGGTAAGTCAACTTACCCTGGATGTACAAATATCAAGGAGAAAGAAAAGTTAGTTTAGATCTTTAGACACAGCACCAATAACCACGGCAACCAGAAGTAAACAACTGAAATGTTTTGGGTTATAGCTAGTAAGAGTAAAAATATCAGATAAGACTGCAGGTTAAATATTATAGCATAATATATACAAAAAAGCCTGGGTATATTTCAATGGTCCCACTTTTAATATCTAAATAGCTATAAGATATAGATAGGCCTGTAGTGATAAAAGAACAATAAGCATATAATACTAGAAATAGGGTATAGTGTTTGATGATTTAAAAAACCTGATAATACAGTTTTCTAATATCCAATATGGTTAGTGCATCTTAATGGGTATATATCAGCAAAACATCAATCATTCTTGTAGTACTTATGACTTCACTAAACACTTTGACAGCTTGGGTCTTTATGAATGATGAATATCAGGCAATCTCACACACTAAAGGAGACATCACTGTTAGAATCTCACACTGGACAAATACAGGACAGTGAGGCATGACCATCATACACAGAATAAGCAATCACTTTACCTATCACTAAACATGCAATTGATGAACATTTAACAAGTTTTCACAATCCTTGGACTTAAAAACTGTTAAAACACAGTGAAGGTGTATTTTGTCACCCTATAGCTTGCTCTCAATTTGGAGTAAAATAAAACAGTCAAAATATCCACTCGCACACTTCTTAAAACACTGACTTTAGCACAGCTTCAAAGTTATTCCTATTTCTACAAAGGAAAATCTTGTTGAATCTGCATATAAACCCTCAATCACTCTATAAATACTTTGATCACAATTCCAAGCGCCACCCTGAGTTATCTCAATTAAGGACATTGTGTTGGTCATTGCCCGGAGTGGACATTGCCTGAGTGGACAAAGGATTGGCTCGTCTGTACACCTGCCATGTCCTGGGTGTGGGTCTATCAGGGAAAGCTGGACGAGTTCCCTGATGTCCATGTGTCCAGGACAGTCATAACTGGACGATGTTCTCATCAGGGGGCACAGTCACACTACCTTCACACGGATCACACTCAGCAGACTTCTAAGATAAAACTCACTCATATCCTGTATTTTAAGACTGCTCATCTTATCTTGAATGCAATCAAGAAGTTCACCTCAAAGACAACTTGCCATGTACACACCCGTTTAATTGCAATCATCAACTTATAAACTAATGCCTACAAGGATAAGAAATCTTATTTGAGCCCAGTGTGGCAGTGCCTTCTATATACTCATGGCATGTCAGGTACCTCTAGGTTATTATACGTTTTTTCTGACTTCACTCACACACGATGTTTACAGCCTCATCTTGCATTCAGCCCTATTATCATATGGCCTGAGTTTTAATCTGCACTTCAATCATTTATAACCACACGCAAAAAGATTATTTTTGTCTAGTACACCATGACTATACTTTATCTAATACTGGACCTTGAGATGTGCTTTTAATACAGTATAATGTCTAGACATATTGTTAAAGGGTGTATGAAAGTTTTATCACATTTCAAATTTTCACAATGCCAAATGAATATAACGCTGTTAATGATCTTAATTCTGAATATTGTCAAACCTTTCTGACATCATTCTCTATGTTAGCAACATTAACTCCGTAACTACATGCATTTCAATCACCACAACGCAATTTCCTTATAGATTTAACTGATGAATCAGTCCTCACACTCAGTGACAACAAAGACAGGTTCAGTTGGTCAATTTTATTTTTAGACGTGCCATTAGTTACATGCCAGTCTCCAACACCCTGTTATACAATGTAGACAACGGTTAGCCACTTCTCCACACAGGAAGATGTTTTCTCAGATCTACAGACTGATAGCTCATCGTGCACTTAGTTATATTATGTGTAATGGGCTCATCTTAATGCATAAGAAATCACCATATTTGGACGCAAAGGTTGAAATTAAAAATCTAATTTCTTAATACATCTAATTGTGATAAATGATAGTGGCAGCTGTAATTGACTTGGATGGATATTTTGAGATCTGGACTACTACGTACATTAGTCGCCTCCCATCACCTGACCAAGCTGTTAAATTATGGGATGTTCTAGCTAATACTACGGGATGTTGGATATATTAACATCAAATGGCCCAACTAAGCACCGGGTGTCATATAACCAGAAAACACTTTTGTTAGAATTGGTCACCTATGTGTTCTAGTTCTCTGGCATGTATTTACCTATGATGTTCACACTGATATGCCCCGGTCCAGCTCCTCTTGCATTTATGGTGAAGTTCTCCCTCTTGTGGCAGGAGGCCAGAGTGAGGCTCTCGCCATGGAGCGTAATTTTTTCTGCATCAAATACTTCTACATGGTAGGGACTGCCTATAAACAAAAGGAAAAAAACAAAATATTTACTTAATATCCAAGATATTAAAATATCAAAAAACTCTTTATCATCCTCTTATACTATGTTATCACATTACTGTTAGCTTCTACAATAACAGTGGTGGATCAATGGTTTTTAAGAGGGCTCAATGTTATCAAGGCCTATGTTTGACAAAATTTTAACTTTCTTCCCCTGTTATTCTTATGTAAAACACTGTATATTAATATAAGTCCAATAAAAAAAGCATTTTTAAAGCACTCACTTCTTTCCGTTGTTTTATTCAGTTATTTGGTGAGGGATCATAATGACTGGTTTCCAATGTAACACCATAACTAAGTAAGATATTATGCAATACAATCTAATAGAACTTTTTTTTCTGATGCTTTTGTTTTGAGTACCTAGCTTATCCCAGTGTTCTATTAAACACAATCATTATTATACCCTTTTGCTAATAAATTCAGAAGTAAGTCTTTATGAAGATTTCGTGCCACCTGATTATAAATGATTGTTGTAATTAAACTGGTACTAAAATAACACTGATAGCTGTTCAGTTGAGCGGCAGACCAGTTTTAAGTCAATATTACAATTTTCACCTGAAAAATTTGCTGTTCTGTGTATATCATCAGGTCGCATTAGCAACTATCCCTGATTTTTTGATATGACAGCATTAACTTTTAACAAGGCAATGTTTGAACCTGCACCGTCTCGTGGATTCAGAAAAAAATCCTAACAAAATTAACATCGATACTTAAGTGCATGTAATATAAGGCAGCTAGGGCAAGGGTTCTAGCAGGAATATCGCTTTAATCCGAGTACCTGTCTAAGAATGGTGCCAAGTAAAAAAAAAAAAAAAATGAGAAAGTGAGTAAAATTGGGCTGTGTTTAAACTAATGGCCTATGTGATGTGTTTGTGATGAGGGAAAATGATACAGGACTTTTGAGTCATGATTGAGTGATCACTGTGCTAAAGGCTGAAGGAGACAATGACAGCATTACAGGTGGACAGGAACACAGTCATCATTTATTTTGAAAATGATTTTATATAATTCTAAAGTAACTATGGAAAACTAACAGCCTGAATGGTATGCTCAGTTCTGATCGTTCAGAAGGGCCAACTTCAAAATATCTTGATAGATAATAATTCAGAACTAAAACAAATGTGTAGTAACTTTGGATTGCTACTGAAACATTTTTAATCCAATCAGTTTTTGTTCAGCAAATATGACAAAGTTCCTAAATATCAAATAAAATAATTCAGCATGCAGTCCTGCTTGCCAAGTGCTTTGGGTCTTCAATTTCTTCATCCTGCCTTGACACATTTATCTAGCAAACAGTGCTGTTCTGCATGTAAATACTGCACATGTTTATACTGCATCACCTGCCCATTCAATGTTCTTACTGTTGGCAATATACTATATACCGGTGTAACAAGTTTTGATGTCATGAAACCAATTACTGATGTCTGTGACTAAACTGGAACTGAACACTGTCAAGTCTTTTTAAGTCTAAGAAAAAATGGTTTGACCCTGGAATAATTAAATTCGCACAAAATTCCATTTCTTTTAACAGCATCAATCTTCATGGTCAAACACTTGAAAATAATTTAAGATGATGGGTCTTTTATGTGACTGAGTAATATAAAACTACTTATAAATCATCAACATACAGGTTCATATGTTAATTAACCTGGGGGACATATTTACCAGAGTGACTGGTGTAACATGAAGCCTCCAGTATATAACCAGTCTTTTTACCTTCAGGTTAGGTGTGTTAGGCTAGATGGTGACTTCTTGACTACCGTAATTCTTTCCCCAGTCAACAAGTAAATGCTGGTACACTCTTTATGTAATTCACAGAAAGAGTACACATTGTCAAATATTTCTTTAAAATCAAACAATTGGATGAATTTCCCATTAAAATGGTGCTGTTGCTCTGGCAAAACCGTAAAAAGGTCAATTTATTCACACTCCGACAAAAGTAATGAATAAAATGTAAATGACTTTCAATTCTCTACCATCTCTCAGGTTAATGTAGGAGTTGTAATGTTGCAGCAGGTATGGGAGGGACTGACACTGGCAGCAAGGGAAGCCAATAACTCTTAGTCAGTGGGGTGAAAGGAATTCCAACGTTCTGTTTGGTACCTTGCGTGCCCGCTTTTTTAAAAGAATTATTTTTAATCGTTGTTGTCTTATTTGGAGACAAGAAGTGCTTAATTTGGAGGTTCTGTGAGAGACCTTAGCCTCAGGTCACAGTTTAGATGTCCTTGGCTTGTTAACAGGACACTGAGGGAAATCAGACGTTTTCCTCACGCCTTGTGTGTCAGACTTGAGGTGGGAGGTTAGATTTGA